CTTCATACACACACCCTCCTCATGGAAAACGCACGAAGAAATGCAGATGATGCAGCTTTTAAGTTAACCCCAATTGATGTGGCTGCGGACGTGCGCACGTGAGCTCGACATTCGTGAGTCGATGGTGAGGTTTTGGCAGCGTGACGAACTGACTCAATGCAAAAAGACGAAAAAAGCTTTCAGAGGTGATAAAAGCAGACAAATGTTCTTGAAGACAAGGACACCTGCATCTTATATTCAGGCCTTTATATGTACAATTTCAAAATTGTAATAATAAGTTTATGATGCATTAGTGAGTGGGTTAAAAACAGGTGGGTGCGTAAATGACAAGAAGAAATGTCTCAAACTTGAGTAGCCGGACATCCACTCGTACCTGATCGATACACCTATCCCCCCGCCCCCAGGAGACTCTGAAATCTGCTGAAATCCTCCAAGACACTGACATGATAGAGACAGGACAGCGGCTCTTTCTGTCAAGTGGCGTAGTCTGATTACTGTTGTTTTACTGCTGTGTTACAGGCATTGTTTAGAAAAAGTATGTATCGGTATTTAATTTAAAAATATATATATATTTTGTGTACCATCTTTCTGTGTACCGTAATTTCCGGACTATTGAGTGCATCTCAATATAAGTCACATCAAATACATTTTAACAAATTTTAAAATTGTACGTATATATAGGCCGCACCTGAATATAAGCTACAGGTGTCCACGTCTTCAAGAACGTTTTCAAGTTTGGGCCATCTGCTTTTATCGCCTCTGAAAGCTTTTGTCATCTTTTTGCTTTGAGTCAGTTCGCCACGCTGCCGTCGCCAAGATCTCACCATCGACTCACTGATGTGGAGCTCACGTGCAGCAGCTCTGTTTCCTTCTTTGACAGCCACATCAGTTGTCTTTAACTTAAAAGCTGCATCATCTGCATATCTTCATGTATTTTCCATGAGGAGGGTGTGTGTGTGTGAAGCACAAAATAACTGTTCAAAAACACAATCAAACTGACATCTTCCTCAGTGCATCACCCCCGTCTCTCCATGTGCTCTATTGCGCATGTCTCCTGCAGACAGAGCCTCTGTCCTGTCTGTATCATGTCAGTGTCTTGGAGGATTTCCGCAGATTTCAGACTCTCTCGGGGGCGGAGTTAGTTCTATCAATCAGGTCTGAGTGGATGTCCGGCTACTGAAGTTTGAGACGTTTCTTCTCGTCATTTACGCACATCATAACTTATTTTATCACACGGCGATAAACAATTTGACTGCACTGACAATATTGCGAGCTACTGTAACAACTTCATGTTAACCCTAGATCCATGTGTAACTGCACAGACAGTGACGTTTCCTGCACTCAACTGCGCTCGCATCCTCTGTTACCAAACCATAGTAAATATGGATGGACAATGTGCCAAACAAAGAATCCGTCCATATATTCCACGCATCGTTTTATTAGCTGCAGGGTTCAAAGTGTCAGAAAAAGTAGTGGCTTGTAGCCCGGAAATTACGGTAAATATCTCAAGTTACAATGTGGCTCCTGTAAATGTATTAAAGTGTATGTTGCTGCTGTTGTTATAACTCATGTTGCTACTTGAGTGGATTGTCAGGGTTTGTATTTGTTCATAATAAGAGCCCATGGCGATACAGTGAGATTGAGTTTTCTGCAGAGGATATTTGAAACCGAATAATTACACCTTTTACCATTTAGGACAATTGAAATAACAGTTCCATTGTTGAACCCGAATCCGTGTATCATTCATTCATTCGTTTTTCAATATAAAACCAAAAATAAGAAAACGAAAAATCTACAGTTTTCTTCATTATTTGTCTCCAAAACCAAAATGAAAAAACGGATAACGACCGTTTCCCGTTTACGTGACTTCCGTGACTGCGATGCCGAACTTTTGCACCGTGTACGGACTGAACCAGGACTGATCCAGGTCCGGGATCAGAGCGGGACCAGAGCGGGACTGAGACCGGGACCAGACCGGGACTGAGACCGGGAAAGACCTGGACCAGACCGGGACCAGAGCAGGTTTGAGACCGGGACCAGACCGGGACCAGACCAGAACCAGAGTGGGACTGAGACCAGGACCAGACCGGGACCAGACCGGAACCAGAGTAGGACTGAGAACGGGACCAGACCGGGACTCAGACCGGGACCAGAGCGGAAATGAGACCGTGACCAGCGGTCTGAGTAGTTCCATGTCAACGTCTGCGCGCTGGTTCCGTGCAGGGAAAGCGAGAATGCGCTGTGGACTACAGGTCCGGACGGGCTGCTCCGGTCCTCCACGCTCAAGAACCGCGGCTGGTTCCGAGGTGGTGCAAAGATTCCAACTGACGCTTTCACACCAACGAAAATGAACCGAACTAAGAGCTTCTGGTTCAAATGGACCAGGTCCAGGACCAGATCGGGACCAGAGCGCTACTGAGACTGGGACCAGGGCGGGACCAGAACTGGCCTGAGACCGAGACAAGACCAGGACCAGACCGGAGGCTCAGAGCCCACGGCAGGGCCGGAGCTCGAAGCTGAGGCTCGGAGTCAAAGCTCGGAGTCCGCCCTGGTCCCGCTCTGGTCCCGGTCTCAGTCCCGCTCTGGTCCCAGTCTGGTCCCGGACCTGGATCAGTCCTGGTTCAGTCCGTACGCGGTGCAAAAGTCCAACATCGCAGTCACGGAAGTCACGTAAACGGGAAACAGCCGTTATTCGTTTTTTCCATTCTTCATTTAAACACAAATTCGAAAACTGAAAAAACGAATCTTTATCCGTTTTTTCATTTTGGTTTTGGAGACAAATAATGAAGAAAACTGTTGTTTTTTCGTATTCTTATTTTTGGTTTTATATTGAAAAACGAACGAATGATACACGGATTAGCCTGAAAAGTAAAATGAATATCCAGCTTTTGTTAACAGTTACAGTATGGTTCAGTTAACTCTGAAGTAGAAATATATGTGATATTATGGTGTAACATTTGTGTTTTCTCCACCAGGATTCAGGAAGTGAGCTGGTAGCATGTTTGACACCTCTGAAAGTCTCTGAAAGTTGTGAAAAACTCAGCCTGGTGAATAATTAGAATACTAGTAATGCTTTAAGAACATGAGGAAAGAACTGAGGAATAACTTTGGACCGTTGCAGGCTGGTTTGAACTCGTTCTGTTTTTCTGTTTTGAAAAATTTTAATAAAAAATTGGGCACAGCACTTTTATTGCACGGGAAGAAATTAAAATTCTAATAGGATTTATTTGCCATATTGCCACCACATATAAAATCACGTATAAAAGATTAAATCCAAAGTCAACACTGTGATATACTGTTCAGCCTTAAAGGTTGTATCTACACGTATAAAACACGATTAAGCACAGTTTGTCCCCTTTAATCTGCATAAACATGAGTGAATTCTCTGCTGCTGGTTCCACCTGAACAGATGGCCGTGCTCTGAGTCCAGACTGAGAGATTTTAACTGTGGCATTAGCGTACGTGCTAAATGTTTGCTTACTGAACACAGGCTGCAAAATAACAATGGATTAGTTATTCAAATTCAGAACAAATGAGTTACTTACATTCAGAACACTGATCTATAATTTAGACTAGTTACTTTTCAAAATAGTGAAATAAATGTTATCTTTAACCAATTAGGAATGTCATGAAGGTAGTTTAAAGAGCTGAACCTGATTTTTACTGTCTTAAATACCATATTTTTAGACTATAAGTCTCTCCAGAGTATAAGTCGCACCAGCCAAAAAATGCCTAATGAAGAAGAAAAAACATATATAAGTCGCACTTTTTGCAGGACATTTATTTCATAAAATCAGAGACCAGGAACCGACATTTCATGTTGAAAGTCAAGTAGTAACAACAATAGAAGAGAGAACAACAGACTGTTAACGTCACATATGAACAGTTCTTCAGATAAACTATAACATAAACAACAGAACAAGTTTACCAAACTCTCCATCTCACTCCAAATCACTAAATCCACTGAATTCTTCATCCTCAGTGTCACTTCTGAGCAACTCCACGACCTCCGGAGGTAAACCCATAGATCAGGGGTGTCAAACTCAAATTCACAGAGGGCTAAAATATAAGTTATGGGCCAAACTAAATATTTATTGTCAAATTTCAACAACATCTGCATGTTTTCTGTTCTTTTGAGGTATGTAATGTTAAACCTTTCCAGAATATAAAATAATAACAACATTTTAAAGAAATAATGTCTCTATAGTCTATCTGTAGCCGGCGGGCCAGCTCTAATACATATTTGATATGATCTTGCAGGCCAAATATAATTATATTGTAGGCCAAATTTGGCCCCCGTGCCTGAGTCTGACATGTCTGCCATAGATCCATGAGGTAAACGGACCGCCGCTTCCTCTTCCTCTTTCTTTCTGCTGCTGGATTACAGTTTTCGGCTGAATATTTCACTACTAGCAGCAGGACACATGCAGGAGACATGCCCAGTAGAGGGCAAAGTGACAGGGGTACAGGAGTAATAAGAGCAGCAGATACTGATACACAAGCCTAGAGCCTCTCGCGGCTGTTAGTGTGAGAATTTTAATATCTAAGTCACACCGGAGTATAAGTCCCAGGACCACCCAAACCATGAAAAAAGTGCAACTTATAGTCCAAAAAATAAGGTACATGAAAACATATTATTTTAAACAGTTTGCAGTGGTCCAGAGTTATTCCTCATTTACCTCATGCACTCAGAGTATCTTAATTATTTACGTGATGAGTTTATAAGCGCTTTTCACAACTTTCAGAGGCCAAGGTGAAGTTTTGCTGATGGAATCACACGCTTTGATGAAACTTTACAAAGATGAACAGGTCTGGAGCAGTATCCTGTCTCCCCGATATGAGTTGGGCGGATTAACTGATCAGAAAAACATATGGCCCGTTCGTGTCAAAACAAGCATGGGAGCTGGATTTGGGCGCGTCTGCATCATTCCTGTTACCGTAAACTTAAATGCCTGCTCTAACTCTATTGTGTGTGCGTGTCTGTGTGTGTGCCCCCTCAGGCTTGTTCTTCATCCTGCCCTGCACCGACAGCTTCATCAACGTGGACATGCGCACCATCACCTTCGACATCCCGCCACAAGAGGTAACACACAAGCAACACGTTACATGGAGGATTCATTTCAAAAAGCAGCAGTCACCCATCTCTTAAAATGCAATCAGTATTTGCCAGACAGGATTCCTCTACTGTATTATATTTTTATTTTAATGTTTTGCTATGAAACTTCCACATATTGCTGACTTGGAAGACTTTTTGTTCATTTCCACCGAGGCCTGTCACAATAAAGCCTCAACTTATCCTTCAATATACGACAGCTGGAACAATATATTTTGGGGCTCAGTATTTATCATGTGTACATTGTCTTTGCAATAGTGGGAGATTGTGTAGAGAGACGAATAAATAACTCCTATCGCTAATTATTGGTTCATTCTGTTGCTTCTCTGTTGCAGCTCAGGCATTTTAATGATACTGTCTATTTAAAAAATTATTTATTGAGATTATTCTGCATTTATCACAATTTTTCTCAGTAGCTGTATATATCGTGCTTCACAATTTGTTATCATGACAGGCCTAAACAGGCTACAAACGCAGGATGGGTTAATATAAAAAAGGGTATCAACCCAAAATTTCAAAAACATATCCAACTACTCTACATCTCTCCATCCCTTCTCCATTCATCATCACATATGATCTACTAAAATCCATTATCAGTTAAGGCTGTAGTCCTTTAGTCGATTATTTGTTTAATCGATCAATGAAGTCTGAGGCCCCATCCACACTAGTTGTTTTCGTTGTGGATGCGGTGTGCATCTACCCTAATCCAATGGAAAATGGAGATAGAGCGATTTGGTGCCACCAGCTCGCACGAATTCATCTGATCCGGCACTGTGCGGACGCCTGAAAATGTTGATATGCTGACGTAGGAGCTCTAGGTGCGTCCTTATTGGACCACCTCACTGTGACTTGTGCCTTCCTAATTCACTGGGTTTGTGACATCAGTCTTGTGACGCTATTGCGGAAAACAGTTTGAACAAACCAGAGACAAATGACGAGACGTGACAAGACGCGTAGCTAGAACTACTTGCTAGTAGGCCTGCTAGGTCGTCCGGCTACGAAAAGACTGTTTTCACACTTGGCATTTTCCTCGGCTTGAAATCGGACTTTAGACACGGTTCTCCACTTCCTTGTTTTTACCGCCCACGTGATGGTCTGACGACGTGATACCAGCCTAGTCATGTGACTAGTGTTTCAGGTGGTTTCGTGTTACTGTGTGGATAGGGAAGGCTTTAATTGTGGACACAGAAACGACGTGTTTGGACACAAATCGTTTCCAATACGGTGATACGATGATTCGTTTCAGTTTAAACGAAGTCTTAAATGTGTACTAGCTAACTAATTATTTTATTTAGATAATAAGAATTTCTATGAGACAACAGCAGAAAGGAGAAGTTAGTACATGAGTTAGCTGAAGTATTTTTGGTATGCATATGTAAAAAGACAGATTAAACTCAGGTTCTCAGGTTGATAGGCTCTATTCACACTCACCGGAAAAGTTTGGAAACATGCAGATAGTGGCTTCCAGTGAAGTTACCCACACTGGGCCAACCTGCCAAAGCTTTCCATGGAGAACGGGACTCTAACATCTTTTATTTTAGTTAGTTAGTTAGACAAATTATAATACACAAATTAATAGGCAATTCATAAAAGAAAAAAATAAAACCGGGCCATTTTTTCAGTTTTCCCAGATTTATTCTTGCCAATTTTGAGAGCTTTTGCCACGCCCCCTTTGTAGTCGATTAATTGATCGGTAGCACGTCTTTAGCCCCCCAAGAATCTCTTTAGTCAACTACAGGCCTACTGTCAATGCACGGTTGTGTATTTTATCGTCTCACTAGCCGACATTTTGATCTACCAGTCGAGGCCACAGACATTTGTTGTTGTTGCACAGCAGCAGAGTGGTTACATTAACAGGAAAACTGTGGGTTAGATTTCTATAAACGCCTCATCACTGTGGCACACTTCACACCATGGTTTTTGCAGAGGGGGAATTTACAGATAAAGGGCATCGGAAAGTCCAAAAAATGCCAAAAACCATACATACATACTAAGACAAAACTTAGGATTCATATTAGCAATAATTAACAGAAAAAAATGTAAATAGATCAAATTATTTAGTAAACAAAATAGGAATAATTTCAAGAATAAAAATATTACGAAAATTACTGTTTCAGCTCCGTCAGTTTTCTTATTAGAGATGACATGTATATCTTCAAAACTGCTTCCTTTTACCTTTAGTTCAGTAGAGATTGGCAGTTCCAGGGCTAAAATTATTCAAATGATTCTAGTTAAGGTGTATGGAGTTTAAAAGCACAGTGGAGCACTTCCTGTTTTACCACAAGACATCACAATGTGGAACAGAGTGTTTTATTAAGTCAACAACTGGACCATGTATCTTTTTTTTTTTTTTAGTGCTGCTTTTATGTATACATTTTATTATTTTTGTTCATTGATTTTATTATTAATATTTTATTTATTGATTGTATTATTTTCTTCATGGTTGAAACATAATTGTTGTTTTACATTGCCATTGTGAAGCACTTTGGAAACTGTTTTGTTTATAAAATGTGCTGTTGGAAGTTGGATTGGATTCATTCGTTCGTTTTTTCTAAATGAAAACCCAAAATAAGAAAACAAAACAAACAAAAATTTTCTTCATTATTTGTCTCCAAGACCAAAATGAAAAAAGTTTTCGATTTTGTGTGTTAATAATTAATGGAAAAAAACGGATAATGGCTGTTCCCGTTTCCGTCATTTAAACTGCGATGCTGGACTGAATCAGGACTTAAACAGGACTAAACCAGTACTGAACCAGGACTAAAACAGAACTAAAACAGGAACACAACGGATTCCAGGCACTCCAAAACAGTAGAAAAAATTTACACATCGCACGAGGAAAAATATAATTAAAAGGCCTTTATTTGAATGGCCAAAGCCAACATGTTTCGACCTTAACTGGTCTTCATCAGGGCTTAATTAAAAACAAAGCATGGGCATGGCAAAAGAACTAAAACAGGCCTGAGTATTGGGACAAGCCCGGAGGTGCTCGTGTCGGATGATCAGGACTGAGACCAGGACCAGACTGGTACCAGACCAGGACTGAGACAGGGACTGAGACCGGCATTGAGATCAGGACCAGACTGGGACTGAGACCAGGACCAGCCGTTATCCGTTTTTTTTTTTCCATTTTTCATTTAAACACAAAATAGAAAACTGAAAAAAACAAAAAAAAAAATCGTTATCCATTTTTTCATTTTGATTATGAAGGCAAATAATGAAGAAAATAGTTGTTTTTTTGTTTTCTTATTTTTGGTTTCAATTTGACAAACAAATGAACAAATCCAATCCAATCCAATGCAACTTTATTTGTATAGCACTTTTTTATTGAAAAAAACAGTTTCCACTGCTTCATTTTCTTATTTTGGTTTTATTTTGAAAAACGAGTGACACACAGACTGGACCTGCTTTAGCTTTTTTGCACATGCTGATGAAAAACTTGGACACATCTTGTTAATAAGCCAGTTCTCTGTTTTGTTTCGTTCTCATGGTTTTCCTCTGCTGTTCTCTGCGCCCTGTACTAGGTCCTGACTAAAGACTCGGTGACAGTGAGCGTGGATGGAGTGGTGTATTACCGCGTGCAGAATGCGACTCTGGCTGTAGCTAACATCACCAACGCGGACGCCGCCACCCGCCTGCTGGCACAGACCACCCTGAGGAACGTCCTGGGCACCAAGAACCTGTCCGAGATCCTGTCTGACCGGGAGGAGATCGCTCACAGCATGCAGGTACAGACACAAGCTCAACCGGGGGTGGAGAGTATTACAGAGGGTCTGGACCATAGACTTCTGCCTCCATCGACTCTAGCTCCAGTCAACTTTACATTGAAAAATTGTCACCCCTCTCTCTGTAACTGCTGCAGTGAGCCTCGTCATTTTGGTCTTAAAATGCGCATATTAACCCGCTCTACATGATCCTGGTGTTTTTATTTCACTATTTTGTCTGTAAATCAATTCCTATTCCAAATATAGAGCTCAACTTCAAATTAGCTCCTATAACTGCTCGCCTCATGAGCTTCATTTGACTGGAGCTGAATGCCATAGGTGACGTCAAACTCGCGTTCACTTCTTTATTTGGTCTATGTGTTTCCAAAACTTTTTTTCTGGGGACCCATATTTTAAAAGTCTCAAATCTTCACTACCCAAGTCAATAGACATTATTCATGAATCACAGAATAAATTTGTGACCATTATTGAACATTAAATGAGGATATTTTATTGCTGACTGAGTGATCATGTCTTTCTCAATAATTAGTATTTTTTGGACTATAAGGCGCACCGGATTATAAGGCGCAGTATCAATAATGTTGAATTCTCTTGTCTATTTTCATACATACGTAAGGCGCACTGAATTATAAGTCGCATTAAGGGTAACACACTTGAGACTGGAGACTTTTTTATTTCCTACGAGGAGGACTTAAATATACATTGAGTAATAATGTGTTTAAAGCAGCTTTGCGCACATTTGTTTACATTTTAAAGAAAGAAACTTAAAACCACATAATGTTAATTTGCATAAACTAAAAGCCGCAGAAAAAACAGCTCGCTCCTTGTGTGCTGATGCAGTCAGCTTCTGTTGGACTAAATGACACGACTCAGTGAAATAGTCTAATAACACGATTGCCCAAATTGTGATATCTGCCTAACTTTACTCTCCTACCAATGCTTGTTAGAGTCTAAAATCATTGTCTGCCTTAGTCATGTCTATAAAATATCAATCAAAAATACCAATGTGCTTGCTAAAAATGTGTTTTACTTTCAAATACTTTAAAATATGACTTAGGCAACTGTGCTATTAGGTGAATGATATGTGAAAATTGGTTCAATTGCACTGGATTATAAGGCGCACTGTCGATTTTTCAGAAAATGAAGGGATTTTAAGTGCACCTTATAGTCCAAAAAACACGGTACTCAAGTTTTAAACAAGGAAAAACAGTAATCAGTCTTTCACACAGAAAATTGGTTAGGGATGGCAGTGCTGCCAAAAAAGTGAGGAGCAGGGGGTGTGTGTGGAGATTCTGTGCACAGAGAACAAATGAGGAGTGGGGTTGCATGGAGAAGAAGTGAAGAAGTGAGGAGCAGGGGTATGTATGTATGTATATTGCAGACCTACATGCAGATCGTAACAAGGCGACCCCATAAAAAATCAGACCCAGACCCAGTCTTTGGGAAACAATGGTCTATATCCTGTACCTGATTTTTTTACCCCTTGTATTTGATATATTGCATAACCTTTGTAGTGTTTTATAGTCAGATAATCAGGAAAGTGGGCATTAGCATTCTAGCTGTTGTTAGATTTACAGTGACACCAAAAAAGTTGTGAAAAGCATCTTTGTGAATAATTAGGATGCAAACTAACTAGTTCTGGTTTTCATCACAACCTGTCCGGAATGACTATAATATCTGGAAGGACTTTTTAAAACTAATTAAATTGTCCTTCATTGTTTACATTTGCAGATTTAAGAAAAGACTTTTGTTCACATTACTTGCCTCTTCTGGCCAAAATTATATTGCCACAAACCATCTAAAGTAAATTATCCAATTAACACACCAATAATGTAACAGTGTCCATTGTAAGTATCGTATTTTCCGGACTATAAGTCACTCCGGAGTATAAGTCACACCAGCCAAAAAAAGCGCAGTGAAGAAGAAAAAAACATATATAAGTCGCACCGGACTGTAAGTCACACCTTTTAGGGGAAATGTATTTTGTAACATCAGAGACCTGGAACCGACATTTCAACTTGAAAGGCAAGTTAATAATAATAACAACAGAATATGTTAACTGTTAATATGTTAACGTAACATATTAACAGTTATTCAGATAGTTATAGCATAAACAACATAAGATAAGTTTACCAAACTCACGATCTCACTCCAAATCACTAAATCCACTGAATTCTTCATCCACGGCGTCACTTCTGTGCGACCTTTGGAGATAAACCTCTTCTGTGTCGCTGTCGTCAGACTCAGCATCAGTTCTAGTTAGAATTATTCCAGCCTTTCTGAATCCCAACAGGATGGTTTCAATTGTCATTGAAGTCCAGGCTTTGTTGATTCATCCAGTGACTTCCAGGAAAGTTACATGGCGTACCCGACCGATTCCCATGAAGCTGTGTTCTCCATTTCCGCTTTTCTCGCTCACTCCAGACTTTCTTTCTGATGCTCGATTACTGTATTTGGCTAAATATTTCACTACTTGCAGCAGGACAGTGGCTATTTCTACAGGAGACATGTGCAGTAGAGCGAAGTGACGGTGGTACAGGAGTAACAGGAGCAGCAGATACTGACACACAAGACCAGAGCCTCTCGCAGCTGTCAGTGTGAACATTTTAATATATAAGTCGCACCGGAGTATAAGTCACAGGAAACACCCGAACCATGAAAAAAAGTGCGACTTATAGTCCGAAAAATACGGTACTGGAGAAGTTTGTAGTCTGGATCCCAGGCAAAGCTCTTACTAAAATGCTCCCGGTAATCCCTCATGTGTTCAGGAGTGTTCAGGAGAGGCTCACTGGTTCAGTTCACAATGCACGTTTTAAAACATCCAGGAGAAAAGATAAGTCAGGATAAATGTAAACTAATACAAGAGTCAATTTCATGTATTTCAGAATGTGTCGAGGTCTGAACTACAGGGTTAGCAAGTTTCATTCACAGTACCCATTGGATTTTAGATCTCTAAATACTGAGGAACTTTCAACATTTTCTGCAATTTAGATTCCACTTTTGATTCCGTCTCTCTTCGTGGCTCAGCCCTCGTCCCAAATCACAGCAGGCAAATATAACCCTGTCTTTTCTCTGCGGTACATTTTCCAAACTGTATCTTTCTACAGTCACCTGCCTCAGACAAAGCACTCGTGAACACCGGGCCTGTTAGCAAACTCGCGCCTAATCCCGGCTCCAGCTCCCGTCCCAGCTGCCCCCGCTCTCATTCACATTACACACCCGGGTCTGCCACTGCGCGCCGCGTGCCTCTAAACCGTTCAATATTTATCGCAGACAGGGCGGCGTTTGCATGCGATCAGCGAGGAGTTCAATAACCTCGGCTCCAGATGGCACTCTCATTTGGAGGGTTTGAGGAGGCATCAGCGACATCTGCTCCCAGGCTGCCTCTGCGCTTTCACACTATTCTTAGGGCTGTAATATGGCAAGAGATTTGGTTCCAAAAGATGTAGCAAAATCAGATATGCCTGTGTGCGTTTCATACACGTTAATGGATTCCTGAGAAAGGGTTGTTGTGATGTCTATAGTCAATTAAAGCAATTAGATGAACAACAAGGAAGTGGTCTGTGTGAAAGCTTATTATGGTCCAGCTGTTTATTCAGATGGAGACTCTGGATCAATCTAGGAGGCTATAGCTTCTTTTCTCCTGGCACGGTTCACTCGAGGCCACTTGGAGAGGGTGTCTCTCCAGCCCACTTGTGTTTCCACGCTCCAGGCACGGACAGAAAGTGAATTCTAAGTCATATTTGAATTGTAGTCCTAATTATTATGCCATTCTCAGCCCTGTGCACACTAGTACGTATTCAAGTCATTTTCGTTGCGCTTGCAGTGTTCGTTCACACTTATCCGATTGAAAACGGCTCCAGAGACTGGTGCCTCCAGCTCCCACGAATTCATCTGAGTACAGATCTGATCCGGCACCGTGTGGACGCCTGAAAACGCTGATACTCTGACGTAGGTCTGTGCACCATGAAGTAATTCACCGCCAAAACACTCAGAGGCTACAATATATTAATATATACGGTCTGTGTGTACGACCTGCAGATGTATAATCTCTGAAAAGTTTAACATGAACCATCTCCAACGCGACAGAAGCACAGAACAGACTCACCATCAGCAGAACATCCCTCTGTCACAGAAAGAACATATTCCACTGAGTCGTGTCCTTTAGTCCGACAGAAGCTGAACTGCATCAGCGCACAATAGTGAACTGTTTTTTTGAGTACTTAGTTTATGCAAATTAGTCATGCAGTTTTAAGTTTCATTTCTGTGAAATGTAAACAAATATGCTCAAAGCTGTGTGGATAGGGAAGGACTGCAGACACAGAAACGTCGTGTGTGGATGCAGATCGTTTTCGATACTTTGATACGGTCATACACGGATTCATTTCAGTGTAAACGGTGTTTCAGCAATTCACAAAACGACGTTTAGTAATTCCAAGTTTGTGGCCCTGTGAGTCGAGGCTAAAGTTAAAGCTAGCGTGAACACACAATTTCACTTCTCTTCATCTGTACACTGCGTTTGAACCTCTCTTTATGTAGTGAAAAGTGGGTTTGGCTCATGATGGATCCATTATGCTCTGGAAATATTATACTTTCAGTCTTTATATGTAAGTGGTATGCATGATACACAGGAAACAGCTGTTTTGTGGAATTGGAAATACTGTGGTTTATCACGAGATCAAGTCAGCGTTTGGTGAGGGTTTATTAGTTTATGTTATATCTGCTTTCAGCCGTCTTGAGTCTGTGTTCTCTTTTGTCCAGTCATCTCCTTTCTTGTGTAGCCACACCTTAGCTAAAGCGATCTGTGCCATGCTGGGCCTCTCTTTGGAGCTAGTACCCTCCAGGGTCCAGGGCTTCGCACCCCACCCCTGGACTCAAACAGGGCAGTACGGTTCTCTTTAGTCAGTGGAGACACTTGCAGCCCATACTGATCCAGTCTAAAGTGAACCACTGGAAACGAGGCTTATGTAGCAGTGTTGATTTTCTTCACCAGTTTTTTTGGTCATATTGATTCAGTTTTAGGACATGTTTTAGACTTGCATGTGTGTGTTAAAATTTAGACTATACCTGAATCTAACGTGAACTACAGAACATGACAAAAACGCGAGTAGAACAGGACCCAACCAAGTCTACAGCAGGACTAAACTGAGCTCAAACAAGGCCTAACCAAATGTCAAAGCATCCTTAGTCTAGATCAGGGGTCAACAACTTCCGGCTTGTGGCTCTTTCATCCTTCTGTTGTGGCTCTCTGTGACTTTGGAAAATAAATAATGAGTTTTTAATTACAATGTATTTTTATTTTAGTTTGTTCACTTTTAAAAGTAATTCTAAATGAGTAGATAATGGTAATCATATAACATTAAACATTTACATTATTGTCACGCAAATTATATGCGCAACAGCCTCCGACGTGCGATACCCAGCACAGATCTGGCAACCCGGACTTACCGCCACCTACACCAGCAGCATGATTTATTGAGCTTTTTGACCCCTGGTAGGTAATTAATGATAAATCCAAGAAAAGTTCCTGAAGAAAACAGAACGTTTAATGCTACATGGAAAGTTTGGATGTTATATCCTACGTGGAGAACTCAAGTAGGCATTGAGTATTTCATCTGAAAGTATCAGAATGTTTTTGTTACATGCAGAAATAAAATTCCGTGTTCTCTGTAGCATAAATGCAACACACTCTAGTTTTTTATACAGAGCATACAAGTAAAAAAAAAGAATGAAATGCAGTTATCCTCAGTTTAGATTTTGTAGCTCCGGATGTTTTCTTTTCTGTGGGAGACGCTCCAAATGACTCTTTGCGTATTTAAGGTTGCCGACCCCTGTTCTCGGGTCTATCAGGGTCAGCACCAACTGACCAATTAGAATACAGTAGCAGAACTTTGTACTTGACACACAAGGAACTGTCATAATCAGCTCAAAATAACTGAGTTCACAGCAGGCAGATTCTTGTTTCTGATAGTTCACAGCACCATTTTCTTATCGGGAACTTAATCAGGTTTAGAGCAGGTTATAAAGTCAGCTCATGTTTCCCCCAACAGAACGGGATCCAGAATTTATACCACTGAACCAGGGTTAACCCCGATTGAAGGTTTAGTCCAGTTTTGTTTTCTATTTATTATTATTCTGGCTCATTTAATTTGTGATTTTTGATTCATGTAAATAGGCCCAGTAATAATAATCTACTTTACATTCACTTTTGCACCACACTTTCTCCCCTCCACATTGAAAGCAGGTGTGAAGAGCGCTAAACCACAGCTAAGTTTCAGTGACAGATGCTCAGATTTCCCCCAATCTGTGAACCTCACCCTCTTGTTTCTTGGCAACAGTCGGTCAGTTAAACTCCACAGTGTATGCACAGTCACACAAACACAATCACAGCTCAATAACACATGGATTTTTTCATTAACAGCAAAGATTTGTTTCCATGTCATGTCAAGTCAATTTACTTAGTTGACGAAAAACAGATAGAGCTACAGTTAAGACGGAAGTAATAATTTGTTCTTTACACAGGAAATCCAATTTGAGTCAGAGCCAAATTAACTTGACTTTATTTTCATTATTTTACTTGCCAGAAATGGTTAAAAACTGCTAATTGAAACTGTAGTTCACCATTCATTTAATTTAAAGAAGGTTTCATTATTTTATTTTTATTTTTTAACGCTCGTAAAATACCGTAATGCTGTAATCACAAAATACTGTATTTTGTGCACTATAGGAGCTCTGGATTATAAGGTGCACTGTCATTGAATGGTCTATTTTCAAACTTTTTTCACATATAAACCGCACCGGACTATAAAGGCACATTAAACGAAACACAACAGTTAGATAAGTCAGTCAGACTTTATTTAACGCGTTCACAATAACTCTCAACTTTGTTCAATTGTAACACATAAAAAATACTGTCTGAGACGCTAAATTGTTCGCGTATTCACAATAATTTATAATTGTTCAAACAGTTGGGTGATTCCGGCGTCCAGCACGCCCACATCCCTCTCGTCATTATCCGAGTTAGTGTGATTACTGTTTCCTGGCAGTTCAGTGATGGTTCTGGTCTTGGTGAAAGCTCGGACCACAGTTGATACTGATCCTTAGCCCAGGCGTCCACGATCCATTGGCAGATCGTGGCGTAAGTGGCTCGGCGCTGTCTCTCTGTCTTGGTGAATGTGTGTTCTCCTTCTCTCACCCACTGCTCCCACGCAGCTCACACTTTCACTTTAGAACAGCCTTGAGTTTAAAGTGGGCTTTGTCAGCGTGTCTCTTGACAGGTGCATTTTGATATTAAAAGGAATCACAGTGTGTATTACTCCGGATGCTCCTGACTACGGGAGCCATAATGGTGCAAGTGGTGCGGCTTTGTAGTTTACTAAAGCCATACTAAGACACCCCAATAAATTCATATATAAGGCGCTCTGGATTATAAGGCACGCAGTTGTTTTTTGATGAAATTAAAGGCTTTAAAGTGCGCCCTATAGTGCGGAAAATATGGTACATATAATGCTAACTGTGACACACACATTAGTAGGTTTCCCTGCACTCATCTTTTTGGTCAAGCTTTTTAGCAGCTTTTTAGTCAACATAAAATAAACATTTAAAGGGTAATAAAGATGTATAGCGTATATATTTAGTTTGACCAGATTTTCTAAATCTAAAACTGGGACACCCCTGGTTTGTGGTGGTTGGTAATAATAAAATTGTGAAACGGGTGCGTAATTAAGGAAAATTGTTCCACGTTCGGCCTATTCATGTCGAACATGTGAGTCACATTTTCTTTGTGTTTTGGTCAAGTTTAAGCAGTTTTTCTGTGTTTTACGTTAACAAGTGGCAATTTATGTCTCTCTTTACTGTTGGCCGAGATCAGCGTGGTCAAAAATAGGGACAATTGAGACATTTCTTGTATAAAACTGGGACAAATCACTGGTTTTGTATAAATCTGCTGAGACATTGGACACAGGACCCAAAACTGGGACTGTCCCGGATAAATAAGGACATCTGGACACCCAGTATATATTACTTGTAGTTTATCCGTGTATGTGTTGCTGTAATAAATGACAAGTGTTAGTGTGTTTGCACGTATTGAATTTGGACTCAAATTCATCATTGACTCAAATTGGGGAAGGACAGGATCTGTGCACAGGAGCTCACAGCTAACTCACTGTGTCTCAAAGCTACTGCTAACTTTTACTAAAAATGTGAAATATAAAATAAATAACTTGCTAATATTTCAATTACTTAAAGCAAAGACAAAAAAAAGATTGTTTTTATCTGTAGATGACTTCAACTTGTGCCTTGATTTTAATATTTGTATTGCCTCAAAATTCTGCTCTCTGTCCACTGTCTGATCTTTAAACATTTATTCCTTTTAGCACGACTCGGCAAAAAATCAATGAGATACAAGTGGGCAGGAAGTCCTGATGCTAACAGTGAGGTTACCCAGCACCTTTGTGGTTAAAGCGTTGCTAAAACACTATTATTATTTAGTGGAAGAGCTGCCGCTACAATCATGTTCTAAATTACACAGGGTTCTTGTATTCATTTAGCAGTTGATATTTCAGTCTGTCAGTCTCAAATGTTTTTACTCCCAGACTCTTGTGAACTGACACATTTCACAAATATAACTGATGTTTGTATTTTCCATAAAGTGTGTCCTTTTGTGTCGCTGTTGTAAACCCTGTGCCTCCGTGTTGTGTTGTAGTCCACTCTGGATGATGCCACAGATGACTGGGGCATAAAGGTGGAGCGGGTGGAGATCAAGGACGTGAAGCTGCCGCTCCAGCTGCAGAGAGCCATGGCAGCAGAGGCCGAGGCCAGCAGGGAGGCCCGCGCCAAGGTACACCAATACTACTACTACTACTACTACTATTGAAACTCCCTGTTACTACTACTACTATACAAACCCACTACTACTACTGCTGCTACTATTCAAACTCCTACTACTACTATACTGCTACTGCTAAACTATTCAAACTCACTACTACTACTACTGCTACTGCTACTATTCAAACTCACTACTACTACTACTACTGCTACTGCTAATATTCAAACTCACTACTACTACTGCTACTGCTACTATTCAAACTCACTACTACTGCTACTTGCTCAAACTCACTACTACTACTACTGCTACTATTCAAACTCACTGCTGCTACTACTACTACTATACAAACCCACTACTACTACTACTGCTACTATTCAAACTCACTACTACTACTACTGCTACTGCTACTATTCAAACTCACTACTACTACTACTGCTACTATTCAAACTCACTACTACTACTGCTACTGCTACTATTCAAACTCACTACTACTACTACTACTGCTACTGCTACTATTCAAACTCACTACTACTACTGCTACTGCTACTATTCAAACTCACTACTACTACTACTACTACTGCTACTGCTAATATTCAAACTCACTACTACTACTGCTACTGCTACTATTCAAACTCACTACTACTGCTACTTTTCAAACTCACTACTACTACTGCTACTGCTACTATTCAAACTCACTACTACTGCTACTATTTTCAAACTCACTACTGCTACTACTGCTACTGCTACTATTCAAATTCACTACTACTGCTACTACTATACAAACTCACTACTACTACTGCTGCTATTCTAACTCACTACTTCTACTGCTATTATTCAAACTCACTACTACTACTACCACTATTCAAACTCACTACTGCTACTATTCAAACTCACTACTAATACTGCTACTATTGAAACTCCCTACTACAACTACTACTACTACTACTACTATTATTATTTACTACTACTACTATTCAAACTCACTACTGCTTCTAATGCTACTATTGAAACTCCCTACTACTACTACTACTACTACTACAATTACTACTACTACTACTACTACTACTACTATTACTACTGCTACTACTACTACTACTATTATAACTACTACTGCTACTACTATTACTACTACTTCTACTATTACTACTGCTACTATTACAACAACTACTACTACTAGTACTATTACAACTACTACTACTACTACTTCTACTACTCTAAATTGCTGAAACATGTGTGAATGAAACAAAACACATCTCCAGGTCTGTTTTTGAGGAGGTAACAGTTGCAGTTTTGTGTCGTATAGGTCCTTAAAAGATGCATTTGTTGTGTGTGTAGGTGATAGCTGCAGAGGGTGAGATGAACGCGTCCCGGGCTTTAAAGGAGGCGTCTCTGGTGATCGCAGAGTCCCCCTCCGCCCTGCAGCTGCGATACCTCCAGACCCTCAACACCATCGCAGCCGAGAAGAACTCCACCATCATCTTCCCCCTGCCCCTGGAGATGATGCAAGCCTTCATAAAGCCCTGAGCCTCCACCGGACCTCAGGCAACCAGTCCCACCTCCAAACCCACCAACCCCCACTAACACCAAGAAGAACTCCACCATCCTTTTCCACCTACCCCTGGAGATGATATAACCCTTCATCAAGCGCTGAGCCTCCACCGGACCCCAGGCAACCAGTCCCATCTCCAAAACCCACCAGTCCCACCCAAAACCCCACCACCATCATCTTTCCCCTGCCCCTCAAGGTGATGCAAGCCTTCATCAACCAATGAGCCACCACCTGACCCAGGGAACCAGTCCCACCCACCAACTCCACCAACTGACCCTAGCCGAGCCAGTCCCAGGCAACCAGTTCCACCACCGGATGCAGGCAGCCAGTCCCACCTCCAAAGCCACCAACCCCATCCAAAACCCCATCACCTTCAGCTTCCTCCTGCCCTTGGAGATGGTGTAAGCCTTCATCAAGCAGTGAGTCCACCACCTGACCCAGGCAACCAGTCCCACCCATTAACCCCACCAAACCAACCCTAACTGAACACCCACTACCACCATCGCAGGTGAGAAGAACTCCACCATCGTCTTCCACCTGTCCCTGGAGATGAGCCTCCACTGGACCCTAGGCAACCAGTCATAACACAAGATCCCAGGCAACCAGTTCCACCACCTGACCCAGGGAACCAGTCCCACCCACCAACCCCACCAACCGACCCCACCCGAACCTCTACTACTACCATCACAGCTGAGAAGAACTCCACCATCCTCTTCCACCTGCCCCTGGAGATAATATAACCTTTCAACAAGCAGTCAGCTTCCAGTCCCACCTCCAAAACAACCAACCCCATCTGACTTGTCCGACAGGTTATACACACAAAATATCCGAGTATTTAGCCAAACAAGTGTGAAGAGAGATCTCCACTAAAAGAGAAAGTAGAGGAGGGCAGAGAATCTGAAGGGTCTAAGTGATATTTCAGTTACAAATTTGTTTCTAACCATAGATTTCAGAATGACGAGAAAAGCTCGTTGCTGCCATAGCGATTAAAACATTTTATACTTTTAATTTAAATAAGTTGCCAAGTTTCAGTCATCAAAAACATCCAAATGTCACTTGTGCCCTTTAGATCGTCAGACCGTGGTTTTGATCTGTTTACATAAATGTGTCATTAGCGGGTCAGAGCTCACCCTGCCATCATGTTTCTCTCTGACAAACGGGTGCTACAGTCACAGAACGGGAGAGAAATTTGCATTTATTATTGTTCATATTTCATATTCTCAAACGGGGAAGTGCCTCCAACTATGTGGCCTTAGACAAGTCAACGTGGACCATCGTTTGAACATTATTAACTGCTCAGAGGAGGGTCATGCAGTGATCGTACTTAGGAAAAGTCATGATTCTACAAGTGCATGGCTAGTACATATCCCATAACTAGAAAATAACCCAATAACATAGGACTGGGTGATATATCAAAAACTAGGTCAATTTACGATTTGTTTTTCTTTTCAAAAATGAAATAGAAATGGCTTTTGATTTCCTTAAACTTAAGAACATACAGAGGACTAAAAGAAAACCCCAACTATATTACTGATGATTAGACATGACTGAATCTGAATATTATTTTTGGCGAGTGTTGACAGCACCGGAGAAATCTGATGACCAAATTTTAAAATAACTTCTAACATTTTCTTACTCAAACCAGAGGGAACTGCCATGGCATTTCAACAATCTGACAATGCCAGAAATCAGATAATGATCAGATTTTGGTCCATATATGAACATAAATTGCGTTGCACACTTTAGAACTACTGGACTAAATACAGATGCACTTGCTAGTAGAGTTAGAATAGTATAGAATATCAGATACTAACCAGTTGGAAAACTAATACTGAAACTAGATATTCATTTGAGCAGGTATGAATACTGAACAAAATCACACCAACGGGACAAAATTGGATGTTTTCTGAACAGTTTTAGAAAGATTATTAGAGGTATCAGATATATAAGACCACGTGGCAACATAAAGAAAGTACTACTATTTTGTGTTGAAAATAAGAGCATTTTCCAGTTTCCAAAATCCAGTTTAAAATGTTAAAATATGTTTGTTTGTTTGTTGTTTTTTAATCAGTTCATATACTAACTAAATAATTGGTGTAAAATAAACAGAGCTTTTAGAGCGACTTTGTAATTCTCTGTGTAGCTGAAGAGAGTCTCAGTTTGACTCTACTGAGGTGAAGCTGAGCCCGAGGTGTATTTTATTTATTCATTTTTATGTGGGATTACATCATCAGATTTTAAGTATCGCTAGCCATATTTCTCAAAAGAAAAGGATTTTTAAATGTATTAAAACTGACAAAAATGTGTAACTTATAAACTAAAAAGTCAAGTCAAACCTATAATTTTTCTGGTGTAATGTTGTGATGACATAATTGGTTTGTCATGTTAGTAATAGAAACCTTTCTTGCCCCACAAATGTCCCACTTTAAATTTTGATTTTAAATATAAATATTTACATTACCAAAAAAAAAAGTAATCTAGTGCACTACATTATATGGCCAGTCTGAGTTGGAGGCGCTACTGGCTGTGGAAGCAAGTTCAAAAGGGACATGAAAATGTTTTATTTAATTACAGCTTTATCGTTTTTTTTTTAAACTCACTGATTTAGAATTTCAAAAAATATTTTAAAACTTGAAAAAAAAATCTACATTTATTTCTAAAAAGGAGTTCTATTTATTTCCAGCCTGAAGCCTTAATGTACTAACACCACGTTACACCTCTGACCTCTATGCAGTCACTTTTGAGTATCTCTACTAACACAAACCAAATATCTGTGTCTGTTGTATATATGCAAGTACTCGCCATTTCAACCTCTTCACCTTGGGAATTTGCGAGAAAAAATATGAAATGTTCTTATTTCTGTGATTACAAATATGAGAAATAATTGTTCTCAAAACTCAACAATTGCTTAGAATCCAGAGCGACTGATAAATACCGATATTTTTAGGATGATTATATAGATTATTTTCTCAAATTCTGTTACTAAAATTCACTACAAAGTCACACAGAGCCCTTTTTGGGGGTTTTTTGCATTGAAGTAATAAAATAAAGCTGTGTGTAGTTTTTAAAGAGCAGATTGACCAAAACGAAATATCGGGCTGTTCTGGAGATTTATTCCGATATCTGATACACTCAAAACTGCAAATATCGGCCCCAATCTATGTGTCTTATCTGTAGTCCAAACCCAGAGTGAGTCGGTGATGCATGGCCACTGAATGCTGTATTTCGAGTGTGTACTGTTACTGCTTACTGCATTGTATATCAGAACTATAAGTATTACTACAAAATATATATCAACATATTATAACGCAGTATGAGCAAAGCAAAGAGTTGTGTTTTATTTCTCACTATTTCACTTTTTACTGTTATTGTGTTTATTAATATGTCTTTATAACATTTTATTACAACTTTGTGTTTGTCCAAAAGTATAGTTCAATTCAAGTTTTAGGTTAGAATCACATTTGTGTCGTTCTTAATGAAATGTTACAAATTGTTGATGAAACAATATGAAATCTTTACAGTTTGAAATGGCTATTCTTTGGTTGCGTTATCTTTGTAACTGTGATATTTTAGCAGCTTTTCATTAATAAATTTGTTATGAATGTGAACAAACGTTGACTTTTTTATCGCAATATTTCAAGTTCAAAGGCTTTAATGTCGGGTACGGGAGCCTTGGAGGGACGTGCTGTAAATTAACCCCAGTCAGAATGGTCAGTCAGTTTTAAATCAATCAATCAATCAATCAAACTTTATTTGTATAGCACTTTTCATACATTTGAAATGTAGCACAAAGTGCTTCACATGCAACAGAAACATTTTTAATACATTAATTAACACCCCCCCCCCCCATACCACAATTTAAACAGAAACATAAAAACTAAAAAAACTAATAAACATAAAGCTCTTAAAAGTTATAGTAAAAATTAAAGTGTATAGCTAAGACCAGATGGAGACAAAATAAAGTAGTAATGATAATTTAATTTAAAAATACCATAATAATAACAATAATAATGATAATTTAAGTTAAAACAGGTAAAAGTTTCAGTTAAAAGCTAAATTAAAAAGATATGTTTTAAGTTTACTTTTAAAAATATGAACACTCGCAGCGGACCTCAGATCCTCAGGCAGACTGTTCCACAGACGGGGGCCGTAAAAGCTAAAAGATGCCTCACCGTGAGTTTTAGTCTGGACTCTTGGGACAGCTAAAAGGAGACTACCTGAGGACCTGAGAGTCCGAGAGGGCTCATATGATAAAAGCAGATCAGATAAATAAATAGGACTAAGACCATTAAGAGCTTTATAAACCAATAAAAGAACTTTAAAATCTATCCTGAAGCTCACAGGAAGCCAGTGCAGAGACTTCAGTACTGGGGTGATGTGCTCTCTCTTCCTGGTCCTCGTCAGCAGCCGGGCTGCCGAGTTTTGGAGGAGCTGCAATGGAGCTGTAGATTTCTTTGGAAGACCAGAAAGGAGAGCATTGCAGTAATCAACGCGATTTGTAATAAAAGCATGTATTAAAATCTCTGCACTGGCTTGAGAAAGAAAAGGTCTGACTCTGGCAATATTTTTTAGATGATAAAAACCAGATTTAGTGATGGACCTGATGTGTGGCTCAAAGCTAAGCTCACTGTCAAGAATAACTCCTAAACTTTTCACCCTCTCACAGGGGTTCAGTGAGTAGGTTTGGAGCTTAGCTTTGAGCCTCTCTCTCTGAGCTTCAGGACCAATAATTAAAACCTCAGTTTTGCCCTGGTTGAGCTGGAGGAAGTTTGCTGCCATCCAGGACTTAATATCTAAAATGCAGTTAAAAAGGGTGTCGATCGGGCTCAGGTCACCAGGAGACACGGCTATGTAGAGCTGGTATCATCAGCGTAGCTATGAAAGTTAACACCGTGTCTCCTGATGACCTGTCCTAGTGGCAGCATGTAAAGGTTAAAAAGGGTTGGACCTAAAATTGAGCCTTGGGGAACACCATACTCCATTTTACATTTTGCGGAGGAGTGCTCCCCAAGACTAACATAAAAATCCCTGTTTGTTAAAAATGATTTGAACCAGTTAAAAACAGATCCAGAGAGACCAACTGTATAATGCAATCTATCTAATAAAATACAGTGGTCTACAGTGTCAAATGCTGCCGTGAGATCCAACAGCACCAGGACTGACAGGTTTTTCTTGTCTAAGTTGGATCTTATATCATTAAGAATCTTTAATAATGCAGTCTCTGTGCTATGCTGAACTCTAAAGCCAGATTGATAAATTTCAAAAATATTGTTAGAAGTCATAAAATCACTAACCTGGTTAAAAACAATTTTTTCTAAAATTTTGCTTAAAAACGGCAGATTTGACACAGGTCTGTAATTACTGAGCAGGGAGGAGTCCAAGTTATCCTTTTTAAGCAGAGGTTTGACCATGGCAGTTTTAAGTGCTGTAGGAAAAACCCCTGTCTGCAGCGAAAAATTTACAATGTTAAGAACTTCTTGGGCTAAAAAATTAAAAACAGATTTAAAAAGCGATGTAGGAATAGGATCTAAAAAACAGGTGGCTGGTTTTAATTGTAAAATAAATAGCGCTTTTCCACCTTCAAAGCACTTTACAACAAGGAAACACAAATACCAACTCGAGCGTCCCCCCTGGCTTGAAAGTTCCAGCTCAAACGTCCCATTATCTCAGCTTGAACGTCCCCCTCCTCTCTCCGGGTGCCCCCTTCTCTTGGGTGGCACATGAGTAACTGCTGTGTCTGGGAGAGGGGGGGATGTTCTCGCTGCGTCACACACTGTTATGTTAGAAAATCAGCTTCTGTATCATAATAAAATGAAATGTGAATGTAGCGAGACCAAATGTCGGGTCTTGTTTATGTCATTTTACTGATCTTCCCAAAACAGCACACATATTTTTTCAGTCTGTAATTTCGATATAATCCTCATTTGCTTGTAGAAGTTTACTATGAAATCATATTTTTTTTTTAAATTTCTTGTTCCCTATGTCCTACAGCGTCTGTAACTGTTGATTTGGGCAAAAAATATGAATTACTTACTTACTTGCCATGAACATAATTTGTAAGCAGCACAACACAAGAAACTTAGAAAGCTACAGAATTTGTTCAAAAATCTTTCAGAATCACTTTTAGGAAGTTCTTAACTCTGTAATTGAGTGAAATATGTCAGATAAAATCCTGACATAGTTGCTGCACAGTTGAGACCCCATCATTTTTACGTTTCTTTTTTTTTTTTTTTTTTTATGTATGTATGAACAAATATGTGGAGATATATTGTAACTTGCGTGTGTACTATATATAATGACAAAAAAAAGTTGGTTCCCGGATCCACTCACCCATTCACACACTCAAGAGTAGAATTCAAACTGCCAACCCTCTGATCTGTGGACAAACGCTCTGACCAACTGAGCTACTGTTGCCCTTCCATGTTTTATGTAGGAACTGTATGTAATGTATATGTATATATGCATTACTGTATATGTAACCCAGACCTGGGCATTGTACAGCTCCAAGGCCACTTACGGCCCTTAGGTTGACTCTGACTGGCCCTTTAAGCACATTTACAATTGCAACATATTTTATATTTAGACATTTGGCAACCTCACTTTTAGTCGTAACATAAACTAGTCTGACCACCTGTGCTCTAAAAAATATCCTCACTGAACACTGAATGTAACCGAACCTGTTCTGAGAGAGCCTTCACCTGCAGACAGAGCACACATAGAAGTGTTTTTCATTCTCAGTATATGGACGCACCATACTCTCTCTGAGCTGCAGAGGCTGCACTAGCACTGATTCATGACTGGCTGTAGGTGCTGGGGTTTACATAGTGACCATCCAAATCAACACATTTTAGGTTTAAACCAACTGGATTTCAGCATTGAAAGGGCAACCCAAATGAGAGTCATGTGAGGCTCATTCTGCTTTGTGATTGGATAATTGTCCAAAACAACAAATTATAACATTTAAAACTTCCATCATGTCCACTGTTTTGGTAATGAAGCATAAATCAGCATATTTGAGGACACAACTAGGTCATGTTTATGGAATTTTAAATAAGAATCTTACACACAGTCCTCGTAAATTAATTAATGGTTTACAGTTGCAAAAAAAACAAACAAAAACAAAAAACAATGACAATTTAATTTTCCGTTCTAATTTTATTGATGTGGTGAATAGTGATACAGAGGGTCCTGAGGAGTGTCATGGCAACCAAGCAGCAAAGCAACGGTTTCTTTTAGCGTCGTAGCATCACGGAATAAACTACAGTAGCTCTATCCGTAAACTCTATCCAAATAAATACAAATGTGCAAGTCACTCACAAAGGCTAACCGTACAGTACCTATAAAACACAGCGTGCTGACGTAAATGATTCTAAGGCATCTGTTGTATTGCTATTTGGCTCACAAACAGGTGTTGAAAATGTTTTTTGTTTTTTTTTTGCATCCATTTAAATTCACTAGTTTTAACTGTAGGATCAGAAAACTCAAAGCATACACAGAAGAATCACTGGACACATCTGAACATAATAAAATGATAAAAGTTTGACAAATAAAATGCATTACGTCATGTTTTGTTGCCAATAATGACGTATTATAATGAAATAGAACGTACAGAATTTATTTTAGAAAAAGGACAAAAATTAAATGATGGCCAAAATATTTATAAAACTGCAAAATATGACTACTGTAAATTTCTTAAAATCAGAATAATTGTGATTTGACTAGTTTTTAATTTTAGACATTGTTTCAAGCCATACTATTATTATTATTATTAGTATTATTTATTTTATTTTTTTTTTTTTTTTTTTCAAAATTTCTAAAATATATATTTAATCTACCAGTATTCTAATATATCCCAAATTAATAACACCTAAATACAATTCTGAATTCACACAATTTAGAATACCTAATGTGTTTGTAATATGTTAGGTGGCACAGTAGCAGAGTGGTTAGCCTCTGTGCTTCTTAAACTATACTATATAACACACCGTCTTTTTTTTTTTTTTTTTTTTAACAATTGTGTCCAATGTTTCTTCTGTCTATGAGTGACGTGAAAAGTGCATATACCTTCATTGTAATTCTGCTTCCTATTGGCATAAAACAACTCTAAAAGGCATCAAGTGACTGTAATCAAACGCTTTTAAAAACATAAGAAAGAATAGTATAAAAGACATCGGCAGCAGTACAGTCTTAGGCCAGGAGGGGGCGGCACAGAGCGGGCGTGTAGGGGAGGGGGTGTCGTTTAAAGGGCCAGTTCAGCCATGACGCGCTCCAGGGGGTCGCTGCTCCAGTACTCGTGGTCCCAGCCCAGGAACCAGCCCGTGAAGGTTGGGGGTTCGAATCCCTGCTTGATCTTGACGATGGGCGTGCGCGGGTCTCTGCTCGCCGGGTCCGTCTCGATGTAGCGGACAGCTGAGGGACACAGGAATATTTACAAGTGAAAGACAGAAAATGGACATTACCTTTGAAATGATTTGTGAGTGATTATTTGTCTGTGAGTCAAGAGATTTCTCATTTTTTAACACAAAACTGACTCTTGTGAGCTTTTAGACATGTTATAATGCTGTTCCCTCATCAAAAACATAACTGGAGCTGTGTTTTGTTTCATTCATGTTTGAGGAACCCTGGATTATTAGGTGCTCTACATCCCCAAAGCTCAAAATGCTCTGTTCAACCTTGTGATGTCATTTGGTGGTAGTTTTAGTAAGTTAAAGGCTATTTTACTGTCATTTAAACTGCTTTACTTTTCAAGACTCTAGAACAGAGCTGGGCATTGCACAGCTCCAGGGCCACAAGCGGCTTTTATTTTTGAATATTTTTGCTTTAACTCTAGTACAGTTGAGATCGTCTCTAATATCTGCTGGTGCACTGACGATTGAAGCAGTTTCAATTATTGTTTTCAGGCCATTAGAGAACCTGATTGATGTGTTCACGCCAACCTTAGCGTTCAGGAGCCAAGAAAAACGTGTTTTTTCCAAGCGAACCGTGATGACACAGTAGATGTGAGCAGGCTCATCCGGGTCACACGTGGTAAAATAAACAAACAAAGAAAACGTGTGTGGAATATGGTGGAGAAATCAAGTGACAAGAAGCAAGTGATCAGCGGAGGAGACCAAATATTCTATATATATTCCATACAGTATATCTGTGTCTCATGGTAAGTTTACATCTTTGCATTCAGCACTGCCACCTTCTCCACAGCTGATGTTGTTGCAGAGCTTGGCACAGATGCATAATTATTTGTATGAGTACAAATGTTCGTTGGTGTTGATGATGTGATCCATGATTGTTATTTTTCTTGCTGTGACATCCGCCTTGGTTTTATTTGGTGGTAAATCCACACCCTCTGTCGATGGGTTCATTTAAATGGTTTGAACGTGGGTCGTTCACCAGTGAGCACTTTATTTCCCAGTGTGAAAACAGCTAAAGAGGCTAAAACAATGGTTGTAGTGAAGGTGTATGGAGTTTAAAAACACAGTTTAGTGCTTCCCATATTACCACTTAATGACATCACAAGGTCAAATAGAGATTTGTGTGTTAAACATGTGTAAATGAAACAAAATACAAGCTTGTGTATTTTTGAGATGATAAACATTATAATATAGATAAAAAATAATGCAATATAAACATTTTAAACAGAAAATATTCCACATACACATGAAATTACTGTGGGTCTTAAATATTTTTACAACTACATAAATTCTCAAACTGTTTTGGGGAGGAAATCATAATCAGTATAAGACAACATCTGCCCTTTTTGAAAACAGAAAAAACTCTTAATTATAAAACATCAATATTTTGCCATTGCTATGTGTGGCAATTTAAAGGTGCACTATGTAACTTTTCTGGTGAAGGGTCTGCCCCCTGCTTGTTTCCATGGAGATATTATCAGTATGCTTGGAATGTTCCACAGTATGACATTAAACTCCTCTATCTTCATGGAGACAAGCAGATGGCACCATTAAGCCAAATGACAGGTCAGGTCTGTGGAGTGGTGGCCCTGCTCATTGTTCTGTGTCTCACCTGATGCCATGGCCTCGGTCTTCTCTTCTTCTTGAGCTTCGTTTCCGATCCACACAAACACCTGAAACACACAAGTATCCAGCTCAGCTCTCTCTCTACAGATACATGAGTGTTCCATTACAGAAGAGAGCAAACATCCTAAATCATTACACATCAATGTCCTGAATATTGCTATGAGTACCGTATTTTTTGGACTATAAGCCGCACTTTTTTCAGTGGTTTGGGTGGTCTTATATTTTACTCTGGTGCGACTTATATATGAAAATATTCACACTGACAGCCATGAGAGGCTCTTGTGTGTCAGTATCTGCTGCTCCTATTACTCCTGTACCACTGTCACTTCACGCTCTACTGCACATGTCTCCTGCAGAAAGAGCCTCTGTCCTGCTGTAAGTCGTGAAATATTCGAGCAGCAGAAAGAAAGTTTGGAGTGAGTGAGAAACTTGTGAGGAACTGGGAAAAAGTGAGGATGAAGAACACAGCTTCATGGCAACTGGGAGGATGCACCATGTAACTTTCCTGAAGTCACTGGATGGATCAACAAAGCCTGAACTTCAGTGACACCGAAACCATCCTGTCGGGATTCAGAAACGCCAGAATAATTCTAACTGGAACTGATGCTCAGAAGTGACACCAAGGAATGAAGAATTAAATGGATTTATTGATTTGGAGTGAGATGCAGAGTTTGTTAAACTTGTTCTGTTCTGTTGTTTATGTTATAGTTTATCTGAAGAACTGTTCATATGTGACGTTAACAGTCTGTTGTTCTCTCTTCTATTGTTATTACTAGAACTTGCCTTTCATGATGAAATGTCAGTTCCTGGTCACTGATTTTATAAAATAAATTTCCCCCAAAAAGTGCGACTTATAGTTTGGTGCAACTTATATATGTTTTTTTGTTCTTCATTATGCATTTTTTGGCTGCTGTGACTTATACTCCAGAGTGACTTATAGTGCAAAAAATACAGTAAGTAGATAGTCAAAGTATATAAATGTGTGCATCAGAAATACATATTCCAAAAAATACTGAAAAACTAATACATGAGAGTACTTGATGATGTAGTGTTGGGTTCAGAGTGCACTGAATGAGTTAGAAAAATACACTGCACATGTGATACGTGCACAACAATTAAATATGAAGCTGTTTAATGTCAATTCTGCTCTAATATAATGCTACTTAATGTAAAAATATAAGTATTCAAACTACAGTTCTGTGATTGGACCATGTAACAGAATAAGTTACTAAAACACGTTTGTCCAGTGTTACCTGCTCCCACGTGTCCAGGATCATGACATCATCTGTGGCCAGGTCGTCCTGTGTCATCTCCCCGGGCACCTCCTCGATCTGGACAGAGACACAGTTAGATGTGTTTGTAGAGATCGGTACCTGTCAGGCTTTTTCTATACTAATACTTGAACAGTACACATTGGTACTTTACAATACTTTTTCACTCCTTATGGTGCATTTATCATTATCTATTCAAATAAACTCTTGAATAAGAATATTCAGAGGCTTACGATGAAGTTGCCGGTCTTGTTGGAGCAGGCGAACAGTCTGGGCGGGTGGGCGTCCATCTTGTCCTTGAGTCTGGTGGACGTGCGGTACTCAGACTTTCCTCCAAGGATTTCCCAGAAGTCATCTATGAAGAGAACACGCCGTTTAAACACGCTAAAGAAAGACTCTGAAGGTTCTGGTGTAAAGGTGCAGCAGACACAGACACAAACACAAACAGTATGGCACTAAAACACATTTTAATCTGGCCCCCAGCAAGTATTTGTGTGGTGGATCCCTCTGCCACCACTCCACAGTGTCAGTATCATTTCATTTCATTTACATTAAGTTAATTACATTACACATAATTTCATTCCTTTATTTAGGAATTATATTCTCATTTTAGTTAATATAAGTCTGATTTACTTACACTTGTTGTTTTTGTTTTTGAGAACTCTTGGAAGAGACCACCATGACTCAACAAGGGGGGAGGGAGCACTATTTAGTTAGTTTTATTAAGTTAGTTTGTATAGTTTGCTTTAGGGTCACTTTATTATCACTTATTATTTTCTGTATTATAATTATTTGCCTTTTTGTTACTTTGGTTAATTTAGTAGTTTAGTTAATTATTTAGTTTAATTCCTCCTTCTTGTGTTTAGCTTTAGTTGGTCCTCAAGTATTTAAACACCACTGTTCCTTTGTCTGGTTGGGTTAGTTTTGTTCTGTTCAGTTTGATTTTGAGTTACCCCAGTTGGGCATGGCTTTTTTTGTTAATAATTTGCCTAATTTGAGTCTTTGTTAAATTAAATCTTTTTTTACTTTATAAAATTTAGACTTATTTTTATACCTTGTCTTTGCCTTTATGTTTGGTCCACTACAAGCAGTGTTGGGAAGGTTACTTTTAAAATGTAATCCCATACAGATTACAGATTACATACCCCAAAATGTACTTTGTAACGGAATCCATTAAATTAGTGAGTAATGTAATCTGATTACTTTGGATTACTTGATTTGCGGTAGAGAAGCAAAGATCAGGAAATCTTCACATACGATGTTTTGTCTGATAAAAGAAAATGAAAAGGCCGAGTCTTCACTTAACCAGATTAAAAATATTATTTATAGAAGACGAGGAGACACGCGCAGCATGGTCCTGTTAAATCCTGGTTTAGACCTGGTTTAGACCTGGTTTAAACCTAATTTAGACCTGGTTTTAGACCTGGTTTAGTCCTGGTTTTAGTCCTGGTTTAGTCCTGGTTTAGTCCTAGTTTAGACCTAGTTTAGTGTTCGGCAATAAGTGAAATTACAGAGAGAAAAAAAGAAGGGATATAGCCCCAAATGTGAAAACAGGAAAATACCGCCGTGTAATCCACTTATTTCAACAAAGTAACTGTAATCCAATTACCACTCATTCAAACAGTAACTGTAACTGAATACAGTTACTCATAATTTGTACTCTGATTATGTAACTCCGATACATGTAATCTGTTACTCCCCAACACTAACTACAGTTTGATTATTTATTATTATATATTTATATGTATTTGATTATTTATATGAAATAACAACAGTCTATATTTTACATAAAATTACTTAAAGAATGATTATTATTACACCTATGACCTCAGTGGCTCAGCCGTCTGCCACATGTTTGGATTAATTCTTTAATTTGGCTCCTGAGAAAAAAATATTTGTCCACCCCTGCATTAAACTTGTGTATGTCTGTGTTACAGCTCAGATCTGTGGATATGTGACACAGTAAGTCACAGTAAGTATGCATATATATTTTCTCAGTTTATTTTTAGCAATAATACACCTTCAACGAAATAAATGCAAACAGATCAATTAAATGTGGTACTGTTAATAAGCATCTGCATGAAGACAAGGAAGTGACCCTCCACTAGAAAAGTGACATGATTGACCTTTAGAGTCCATCATTACTCCTAATTCAACAAACAAATCTCTTACACCATCACTCTGCATCAGTCCAGCTCACCTGCTCAGTACATTTCAGGTCACATACAAGACTGTCCGCTCTCCGCTGTGATGTCTGCACTTCAGAGACGCTCTTAAATTGCCTTTTCTTGGTTGTGTTGACTCTTACAGAAGTTTACACAAGCCCAGCATCAATAGTACATTTAGCTGGTGAAACTAGGAGCTAACAAAGCAGTGAACAGTGCGCTTTCTACTTCAAAACATACCAAAGAAGCCATGAATTATGAAAAACCACTGGAAAAATCACAAGACCGACTTTTTGCTTTTCGTATCGCTCTCTTAAACCGGGGTCAGATTTGGATTGATTTATTTATTTTTTGTGTATGAAATATGGATAGTGTTTTGTGTTTTGCCCGCGGTCTGCAGAGATGACAGAGTATAAAGCCTGATGTAACGTGGCCGTGCGGTACTGTAAAATAAATGAATGAACGCCAGCGCTGAGTTGCTGAGTTTAAGGGAAGCTTTGTACTGGACTTTGTGAGCATTACAGCGCTTTGTCCAAGAGTGTGTGAACACAGCTCAGAGGGAAAACTCACACAGAACAGTCAGAGTTTGAACTGGGCTTTAGAATTATTAGAGCCACTCTTAAGTTATTGACCTGCACTCACTGACTGTTGGCTATCTGTGAGATTTTGGAAGGTTAGAAGACTAAGTAACTTTTCAGGTGGAGAGTCTTCCACTTCCTTGACCCCATGGAGATGTTAGTGCTTTGCCTGGAATGTTCCATAGTATAACATGAAGCACGTGACGCCACCAGGTAAACCCACTGACAGTAATACTGCATGTTTTATAAGAAAATAAAAATGTAAAATAACTTACTACTAGTACTTCTACTACTACTACTACTACTATTACTATTACTACCGTATTTTCCAGGTTATTAAGATGCGCTCTTAAGCCTCTAACTGCATCAAAAAGCAGCCGCGCACCCCGCAATCCAGAGCACCCCATACATGAATCCACTCGGGTGTCCCAGCACGACTTCAGTAAACTACAAATCCGCACCACCCGCAGAACACGCAAACACACACGGAGCAGACAGCGACCGCACAACGAAAAACACCCACAGCCACACTCATCACTCCACGCCGACGAGGAACAGAACGGAGGAACGAACCAAAAAAGCGAGTGTAATGTGCCCCTCTGAGCCACAACTGTACAACTGAGTCACTGCGAACACGCCGACAATCCAGGGGTCCCAGACACACCCTCCCTACACGCCACAACTGAACAAAGCCCAGAGTCACGGTGAACGAACCAAACAAAGTCCCACTGACCCATCCAACTGCTGTGTTTTGTTTAAAGTCCGGTGCGTTTTTTTTGTGAAAAAAGTTTGAAAATAGACCATTTAATGACAGTGCACCTTATAATCCAGAGTGACTAATAGTGCGGAAAATACGGTACTACTACTACTACTACTACTACTACTACTACTACTAATAATAATAATAATAATCATCATCATCATCATCATGATCATAATCATAGAATACATGTACAATACAGGGTAGACATGTTAATGCCATACTGTGTAACATTCCAGACAACCAATAAAAACTCCAACAAAACAAGCAGGGCATGGATCCCACAGCACAAAAGTCACATAGCGCACCTTTAAACATTAACTTAAATGTGACAAATTTCTGAGTCCTGCTGCATTTAATGTGATGAGCTGGCACCTGCGCCCTGCGGCTCAAACACAAACGCTACTTTAAGTAAATGGCCGAGCTCAGTGACATGTGTCTGTAGTTTAGCATTTAGTGGTTAGGAACATCTCGTGGCAGCCCACCAGCCACACTGCGCTCAAGGAGACCTGTCTTGTTTACCACGTGACAGTAACTAGAGCAGAGCTGAGCTGAGCAGAGGAAGATGAAGCTTGCGACTCATATCCAGATTTTTCAATAGATCCGCGGCGAGCCCTTACCGCTCTCTCCTCCCTCGGGCAGCTCTGTGGGGCTCACTCCCAGGATGTCACACAGCTGTAGCGCCCCCTGCTTTTCGGTGTCACATGCGCCCTGCCCCACCCACAGGAAGCAGCCTCCGGGACCCGCCAAAATAAAAGCGTCATTGGAGTTTAGGTTAGAGGAAGTGGCCTCAACCTGCACAGAAACACATGGGTTTATTGTAATATTACTATTACAGTAACAATAATAATATAATAAACACTGTTTAAATACATGAAGTGATTTAATGTGCTTTAATAACAATGTAATATTAAAATACAATTTAAATACAACTGACCGCAGATTGTATTCCTATTAGCAATGGCACATATTCAACTATTTTAACTTAACTACACTTTTCTTCATTTGAATAGTTTTAACCTGTTAAAATTATTTTATTATGTAGAATTTCTAGGTATTTCTGACTCATTTCAATATGTTTTTACTTTATTTCATACATACATTGTACATTGTTCTGAAGTTAAAATGAGTCAAATTAAGAGAAGAAAAATCCTGACTGAAAGTCATTTGAACTCCTTCTGATATGTGTTGTAGAATGTTCATAAGCATGAGTGGTGCAGTTGTCTCACCTCGACAGCTCGTGTGTGTCCGGCAGAGTTGGATCGGACCTGGAACAGTCTGGTCTCTGCTGGAGCGCTCTGGCCTCCCTCTCTGGAAGTGCCCCCCCTGTACACCACCATGGGCTGCCCCCCGAACAGGCTCATGAGGTGAGCCGGCTCTTTGCCCTGCACCACACGCACCTGACACACAAACCACAGCAGCGTCAGTGAAAGAAGTAAAGTGGATCTGACAAGTTTTAGACAACACAATGCAAAAAATGCAGTAATTATCTTCATAAATAAAGGCTCCACATTACTCTGTTTTGTGATCTGTCTTCTAATGTTGTTTCCTCATCACAAACAGACCTGGAGTTGTGTTTTGTTTCATTCACATGTTTAACACCCAAACCCTGCACATTTAGGCTGAGTTTTTCTCTCAGACAGAAAACACTGTGTTCCACTTTATGATGTCATACACCTTCACTAGGATCATTTGGATGATTTCGGACCTAAACTTGCCAATCTCTACTGAACAAAACGTGTTAACTTGAAAACTACCACTACATGACATCACAAGGTGGAACTGCGCATTTTGAGCTTTGGAGATAAGCGAATAATAAAAGTAGCAAGGATTACACAAACACTCTGGGCATGTTTTTATGAAGCAACAACATTCTAACATAACTTAAAGCTCCCAAGAATCAATTTTGTGTAATACAGGACCGTTAATTCTCTCTTCTTTTTTTTCCCACAAACTAAACTGATCAGAATTAGAAAAAACATGAAAACCTGTCGTACCTGCAGTATTATTATGCTCTACTCTTGGTTATAGATAATTTATAGATACTTGTATGTATCTTTGGAATCTGTATTTCTTTTTTGATCTTTCACACAATCTGGAGTTGTATTTTACTTGTTTAAAATGGTTACACAACAAGAGGATAAAATAGTCCCATTAATTACTGTTATAATGTATTAACTGTATTCAAAACCATCGCAAGTACTTTTTCATTCTCCAGCATATGTCCCAAACAAAACTGTAATTTTTTTTTTGTAAATTGTATCCGAAAATGTAATTCCAGTTTAGTTACAATCTGTTATCAAATCGTTTTTCTTTTTCTAATAGTATAAAAGTATATTTCTGTGATGATATAGATATATACAGGGTGTCACTACGGTAACCAGATCGTGCTTTTTAATCAAATAAAACAAAATATATTTTAAAATAACTAAGGTAAAAAGAGTAGTCCTGTGTGTGACTCGTCTGCAGAGGGAGCTGTAAATAAAAGCAGAACTGAAAAATCTCCAGTGCCACATTCATGTTTGCAATAGCTGAAGTGGACACTAGAGGGCGCCATTGTACTGTAGGAAAATGACTCAGCGCTCTGCAGTCACTCCAATGTACTTACCCAGTTACAAAGAAGACAAAAAAAACAAATAACAATAATGAACCATAGTTATTTGTGAATATAAGATCTATTTCTTAGAACACTAGAGCTATCAACAATGTGTTATTTTGTATCTAATTTAATTTAAGGTCTACGTCACTTTATGTACGATGACAGCATGAAACAATGGCACAACAGGCATAACAAAAAACATACGCACACACTTTCATGCTATGACAAAATATGTATCTAAAGTGATTTATGGAGTTCAAAAGTGCTCAACTTGATCGTAACAGGATTGCTTAAAGGCCCTGGACCTGGTTTATATATTTTTTTCTACATGAGTAAAACGTGTTCTCAGTACAGATATATCATATAAACAGCTCTTGAGGTCAAAATAAGTCCGCCGTGTCCTGTCTGTGTCTAATTTTAAAGTGTTTTATTGTCTGATAATTGTATGGAAGATTCATTGTTTCATCAGATTTTGAATTTTAAAAGCTGTTGAATTTCTCACTCTCAAAAAATGTGCTTGAATATTTTTTTCATCTGAATTTCAGTTGATGAATTTGTATGTATATATTTTCAGTGTTTAAATCCAAGATGCCAAGGCAAAATCAGTCATGATCCAAAGTGCTCCGATCTAACTGACCCTGTGTTCGATTATCCTTCTGAGTCAGTTTTCTGAGGAAGTTGCCTAGTGACACGCACGACATGCCCCTTCTCTTGGGACGGCGCGACTCGGAACTCAGTGGCAGAAAAAGTCGACCGAGCGAGGATTCTGAGTCAGCAGCCAAGATGGCTCCGCCTACAGTGACGTGTAAATATGAAGTGTTTTCATTGTGTTTGGACACTTTGGTGATTTAAATGACAATTTCAGTCACTCATATCACTGCAATACCTTACTGCATCCGTATTACTGCCTATGGGTCTGGTAGTTGATGTTGTGGTGAGGCTCTCCAAGTCTGACACGAGATACATAATAATACGCTTCAAGCTCGGACGTGACGTCAAACCTGAGCTCCAAGTTGGAGTCAGAAGATAACCGAATGCATGGTGAGTAACAAGTAGGAAATGCTGAACAGAACCCTACATTGATTCGTCTGAATAAGCCTCATTAAAACCTCACCTCTTTGATTTCTTAACAGTAAACTCCCCCTACAGACAAAAAAGGAAATAAGAAACAGCCACCTCTGTCCTCCTCACTCGCACATGATCAACTGGCTCTATTCACGCTTACGTCACAAACCAGAAAAACGCTGGAAACATGCCACGGCAACTTCCGGTGTAGTTACCAACACTGGGCTCGCTGACCGTCTGTGATCAAACCTGTTGAAGTAAATGTGATCAGTGGTCAAATGAAGACTGCAGACGTTTGGAATCATCTGGAATTTGGCGCCTCATCTCTTCCAATCACATGTACCCAGTGCGCTCAGAGTTGTGTGTCAGTTTAGAAATGGGACATTTTCTCATTTTTTGTAGATTTGGACCTCGGATTTGACGTCACGTCCGAGCTTGAAGCTTTGTCTTATGTTTCTCGTGTCAGACTACGTGGATTATGATTATGACTCTTCCCTCATCTCATGAAAGCGCTGGCACTTTAATTAATTTCATTTTTGAAATTTCCACTTCATTTTATATTATGATTTCTCTTCTGTTACAACCTCAGGGACGTTAACGCCCGTTAAATCAAGTGTTTGTTCAATATTGGCCTCACCACAACACCGACTACCAGACCCACAGGCAGTGATACGAGTGACTGTCATTTAAACTACCAAAGTGTCCAAACACAATGAAAACAGTTTCCATGTCACAGTGGGCATAGCCATCTTGGATTCTGACTCAGAATCCTTGCTCGGTCGACTTTTTCCGCCACTGAGGTGTGAGTCGTACAGTCCCAGGAAAAGGGGCGTGTCATGCTTATCGCTTGTCATCGCTTTTTCCAAATGTCTTCCTGTTTGTGACATAAGCGTTGAAAAGAGCCTATTGCTAATTATTTAAAAGGTGAATTCTTTTATTTAGAATTTTTAAAAACATTGAAAATGTATACTTCAGAATAAAAATGACTCAAACGTGTATTATCAGAGTTAGAAAAATTCAAGGTCAGAAATTCAGTGGTATTTTAAATTCAAAATTTGATGGGACAAACTATCTTCCATATAATCGGGAATGCACGTTAGCATTCTAGTTGTTGATAGCATTACCGTTACTGCAAAACTCTGCACTGGTGTTGTGAAAAGCGTTTCTAATCTCATCATGGTGAATAAGTATGATTCTTGGAATATATAAAGCAAGAGAGGAATGAGTCTGGACCACTGCAAACTGTTTAAAGTGTTGTGTTTTTCACATTTTAACACAATATAAATCAGGTACAGCGCCTTTAAGCATGTGTGAATATAACTAAATAAAAAACTACTCTGGGTGTGTGTTTTGTCGATGTGTCTCCTTCAAAGTGAAAGGGAAATGAGGGAGTGAGCATGAGATGAGTTAGTCCGACAGTGTGTACGTTTACATGCACGTAAAGAAAACACAATTCCAACCCTAATCTGATTATAACAGGATTCCAAATTAGACATGAACACAGAACTCTGATTTGGGAGTGGGGATTATTCAAATTCCTCTAAGCGGAGTGGCACAATTGGAGAACACTGACTCGGGCTGCACAGTCATTTTTTGTGATCTCTGTGAACAAATGGCGATTAGTTTTTTCGGTTCAGATTTCTGTCGTCTTTCAAATCTAATTGAGCTCAACAGTGGCCGCTCAACCCTGGTTCTAGTTACTTTTTCCCGCAAACATTCCAGAAAAATAATATTAAACTTTTGAAAGCTTAGTTAATCAGCTACGTGATGACTAATGACCACAAGACCTAGAATTGTATTTCAAATTGATTTCTGAAGCTTTATAAACCGTAAACAAGTTATTTAAACATTTCGCAGAATCTTGCATTTTAACTCGAGGTTATCTTGATTTGAAAACATAAATCACAAATTTACTTGCAATCCCGAGAAAAGTCACAATTCAATGTTCTCCTAAGCTATTTATTGACAAGACTAGGAGAGACGCTCAACTGCGGAGGGTAAGAAACAATTGGCACGTTTACATGAGAGCTTTAATTCCAAATAAAAATAATTTAATTTAAAGTAAAAAATATTTCTGCTTTAAATAGACCGTGTAAACACTTAATTCCTAATGAAAATGAATATTTGGAACTAAACTTAATAAGTAAGTGGGTGGTTTATTCCGATTTTATAGCCAAATTAATTTATTCCTTGATCATGTAAACATTTATTCTCCTTAAAAATAATTCTGGTCGTTCAGCACATGCTCGTTGGGTTGTTCTGACGTGATGACGCACTGCAAGATGGCGGCCCAGAGCAAATGTTGGTCTTGAGCCAGAACAATTTCTTTTAACAAGTGCACCGGAAGAACTACAAATAATGAAAGTGCACTGAGGTAGAGCAGCCGTTGACTCAGTTTGTCTTTTACTCAGTGGTGGAGTTAGCAATTTGGGGGCCCTAATGTATCGTTTTTTTGTTGTGTCTTTTGTAATATACTTAATGTCTGTTTTCCCCATTGTTCTTGAGACATGCGACTTTCTATTTATTTGAATTATGGTGGATTGGAAACTTGTCTAACCAGAGCTGAAAGTAGTTTTTTTTTTTTTGCTAGTACAATTCTGTTTACATCCATTACATATGATGATGATTTTTTTTTTTTATAATTATTGTTTAAAAGTAAACAACTCTCATTTAAAGTCATATTGAGAGAAAATTTAATTGCTCTGAGGCCTCGGCCATTAGGGCAACTGGTTGGGGGCCCCTTCAGGTTTGGAAGCCCTAGGCAGCCGCCTACTTTTGTCTAATGGTAACGCCGCCTCTGCTTCTTCCTCCCTTCTCTGACACTCTTCCCTTCTCTTCCTCAGCTGCAAGCAGTAAAATGTGTTGAGAGAATTCTCCAGCTGCTGTTTAATTATCATCAGACCGAAAAAAGACGGTAGCAGCTGAAGTAACCCACCCCCAGAAGCTGAGCACAATTAAATAAAGGCGATTTAATGTGTTTTCAATGTAAACTGCAATTCAGAATTATTATTTCCATGTAAACTCGAAGGAGAATATTTAAATTCCAATCTATTTAATTCAGAATTTAAAAACATCATGTAAACGTGGTCTGTGTAAGGAACTGTGTTTATTGTTTAATTCACTACATTAAATCTTCACTGTGTTAGACTGAGCTATGGGAGAGGCAAGTAACTATAAAAAAAATACTAAACACCCCTGAACATTTCGTACTCCCCCATACATAACTGTTGTGCTTTGTAACTTGTAACATGTAGACTGCGCAAAAGTGTTCTCACCGATTCTTTAATCAGTAAGTAATGGGATTACTGTGCATGTAAACGTAGCGAGAGTTAGTGAAGTTGCCACAAATGAGTGAACACGGAGGTACCTGCGTGGTTATGGGGGCACCAACAACCTGGAGACACGGCACAGGATTGAAAACAAAAACAAAAAAGAAGAAAAAGAAGCAGAGGGACAAAGGAAGTGACATGGACAGGTCAGAGGTCAGGAGGAGGAGCCTGAGATACTGCAGTACTGCGTGTATGGGTGTCGTATATAAACGTGGGTACGGTGATTTAGTACATAGTGGCGTTACCTGGACAGGCCCGCCCCCCAGCTCCTCGTCCAGCTGAGCGCCCAAGATGGCCGACGCTCCGATCTCGTCCTGACTGGAGTCTGAGCCCTGCCTGCACACACACCACAGAACAGACCGAGCAGTTAAAGGTGTAATATGTCACTTTTCTGGAGAAAGAACTGCCACCTGCTTTTCACCATGTACTTGTTATTTCTCTCTCTCTGCCCCACAAAAAAACATCCATGTCCTCCATATTACACCATGTTCGGATCTATGTTATAAACTTGTTTCCTCGTTACATAAAGACCTGGAGTTGTGTTTTGTTTCATTCACACATGTTTAACACACAAACCCTGCAGATTTAGGCTGAGTTCTTCTCTCAAACTGAAAACACTCTGTTCCACCTCGTGATGTCATGTGGTAATGGGCCCGGTCAAGCAGAAGTAAACAACAAGGCAAAAAATTCAAGTTAATGCATCTGATATAAAAATGTATTGAACAGATACATATGTACTCTAGTTTATGAAACAGTTTACCTTTTTTCTGTACCATTTTTGGTTCTAAAGTTCCATACGTTTTAAACAGACCATGTATGAAACATGGAACAAAAATTATTTCCCAAATTTCAAAGACCTGCAAATCATGTCAAATAAATGGATGTATTTCATCATATCTTGTGTTATTCCATCTTTGAACTGTTGATGAAGGTACATGATTTTTCAAAAAAAATTTATTTAAAATGATAAAAATTTGCTTGGAAGGACTGACATATTTTATAGAAATAGTTTCCTTTCATTTTGAAGTAATATTAAAGTATTCAGAAGAAAAACGCGACAAAATATGCAAAATCATGCACCTTCTACTTGTTTGCATAATTTTCCCTCCGTTACTTTTCCCTCCGTTATCCATGACTTTTCTAAATAAAAAATCTCATGACTCAAAAAGTAAGAGGTTTTTCAACCTAATCTTGTACCATATGGTAGAAAACTATATGAAGCAAATATTCAAACCAGTTTGTTAAGGATATGGAAGTGAGAACCAAGAGTTATCACTGTTTGGATTTATTGCCCAAAAAGTGCTGCATATTTCATTCCCTCCGTTACCGACATGAGTTTTTTTTTTTTTTTTTTTGTCAACAACTTGAAAGAATATCACAGGTTTAACTTGACCCTGTTGGAGTGTAACTCTTTCCTACATTCTGATACTTTACTTATTTCAATAGTCCCTCTAGTTTCTGAATAAGAGACATTTGAATGTCAAAAATCTGCCCGTTTCCCTCCATTATCGCTTGACCAGACCCTAATACACATTCACTGAAATCATTTGGATATTTTCACCCCTAGAATTGCCAACCTCTACTAAACTAAAGGTAAAAGTTACTTGAAACTACAGGAGGCCTTATGTTCTCTCATTTCTAAGATTTTTTTCTTAAGTTTTCTTTTCCCCACAAAATTAGGGCCTTTGTTCCCTTATCATCAATTTTAGTATCAAATTTTATCCCCATTTCTCCCAATTTGGTCAATTATACCCAACCTATTCTCCAGCAACAGTTGACTACAGATGTAATGTAGAGGTCATGGTGCAAATGATCCTAGGTTGAAATGACTCTGAATCATCCTTTTAAATGCGGAATAAAAATAAGAATGACTTGAATTAGAGTAATTAGAGAGAAAAATCGTAGAAATAAGGAAAATCTTAGAAATGAGGAAACATAGAACTGAGGGAACACAGGGCTGACCCCAAAACTACAGCTTCATGACACCACAAGTTGGAACAGAGTATTTTGAGCTTTGGAGATGCATTTGGTGATTTGGTGGTAATAACACAATAACATGGCTTAAAGCTCACAAGAGACAGTTTTGTGTAATATAGGACCTTTAATTCTCCAATTTATGTATAAATCAACTTTGAGACCTTTGCATCGGCGTTGTATTTTTATATGATAACTTCAATGCAATCAATACTATAAAACAGTAACAGTAAAGTGAGTTATTTAAGCAACCGGGAATGTATTTGTTCACCAGTTTGACGCCACTGAGTCCACTTAGGCCCCGTCCACACTAGTACATATTCGAGTCATTTTCGTTGTGGATGCAGTGTTCGTCCACACTAATCTGATTAAAAATGGCTCCAGAGATGGAACAATTTTGTGCCGCCAGCTCCCATGAATTCATCTGAGTACAGATCTGATCTGGCACTGTGTGGACGCCTGAAAACACTGAATAGCTGATGAAGGTCTAACTAATTCACTGCCAAAACGCTAAGAGGCTACCATATATTCATAAATATGGTCTGTGTGTACAACCTGCAGATGTATAATCTCTGAAAAGTTTAACATGAACCATCTCCAACACGACAGAAGATCAGAACAGACTCACCATCAGCAGAACACCCCTCTGTCACAGAAAGAACACATATATAATCCACTGAGTCGTGTCCTTTAGTCTGACAGAAGCTGAACTGCATCAGTGCACAATAGCGAACTGTTTTTTGAGCCCTCAGTTTAAGCAAATTATCCATGCGTTTTTAAGTTTTGTCTCTCTAAAATATAAACAAATATGCTCAAAGCTGTGTGGATAGGGAAGGCTTGCGGACACAGAAACAACGTGTGTGGACGCAGATCTTTCCCATACGGTGATACACGGATTTGTTTCAGTATAAACGGGGTCTTAGAGTAAAACTACAGCACTAACTTAAACCCACTTGTTGAAACTGAAAACAGAATGATCATAAGGCCTTCTCATCACAGTTCAGGCTTACTGTCCTATTGTTGTATTGGTACTTGAGTGAGACCCACCACATGTAGATGATGTGTCCGCGGCGTCCTCCGTGGCTGTAGTTGTACAGGATGATGTAACTGTCTCCTCCATAGAACTGTCCATAGGTAGATGGGTCCACGGGCACTTTGTCTGAGCCCTCGATACGCCAGATCTGGAAAAACAAGTCAGGATTGTATCATGTCAAATTGGCTTTTTATAGATACAGTGCTCAGGTTTTCACAACAATAATTTATCACAATAATCAAAATAAAACAAACTGCATGATTTTCTCTGTTGTAGTTTGCAGAATATGAACTGTGAAAATTGTGGAGGTCTAAACTACAGTTGTTTTTATACATTATATGACCCCATGGAGACATAGAAACACTTAATAAAATAATATTGGATATAACCAATATTTGCCAATACAGATATTCAGATATTTAAATCCACAACAAGGCCAAAAATGTTAAAGTTAAAATAAAGTTCACAATTTATAACTATTTATTTTGCACAATGATGTAAATATACAGCCATGTTTTTTATTTCTATTTCCATTTTTCTTGTGAGTCTGTTCAAATCGGAGCCAAATATCAGTTTACCATATTTTCCTCTTAAAAAAAGCCTTTAATTTCATCAAAAACAACTGTGTGCCTTATAATCCAGAGCACCTTATAAATGAATTTATTGGGGTGTCTTAGTGCGACTTTAGTAAACAACAAAGCCGCACCACTTGCAGCATTATGGCTCCTGTAGTCAGGAGCATCAGGAGTAATACACACTGTCATTCCTTTTAATATCAAAATGCACCTGTCAAGAGACACGCTCACAACGCCCACTTTAAACTCAAGGCTGTTCTAAAGTGAAAGTGCGAGCTGCATGGGAGCAGTGGATGAGAGAAGGAGAACACACATTCACCAAGACAGAGAGACAGCGCCGAGCCACTTACGCCACGATCTGCCAATGGATCGTGGACGCCCGGGCTAAGGATCAGTATCAACTGTGGTCCGAGCTGTCATTAAGACCAGAATCATCACTGAACTGAACTCCAGGGAACAGGAACCACACTGATTCAAATAATGACGAGAGGGATGTGGGTGTGCTGGACACCGAAATCACCAACTGTTTGAACAATTATGAGTTATTGTGAATATACTAACAATTTAGCGTCTCAGACAGGATTTTTTTTTACTCGTTACAATTGAACAAAGTTGAGTTATTGTGAACGCGTTCAATAAAGTTTGACTGACTTATCTAACTGTTGTGTTTCATTTAATGCACCTTATAGTCCGGTGCAGTTTATATGTGAAAAAAGTTTGAAAATTCATTGACAGTGCACCTTATAATCCAGAGCTCCTATAGTGTGGAAAATACAGTAATATCCAGAAAAACCTACACCAAAATTGTAACTGATATATTGCTCATCTCTAGTATTGATAGTGTCTGTCACCTGTTTCTCTCCGCTGCCGTCGTCCACCATGCCGTGCTGTGCCGCCATGGCCTCAGACTCGTGCAGGGAGGCGGCGTCGAACGGGACCTTCTCGATCTTGGCGATGGAGTTGGCGATATAAGCCACGCCCAGGCCCTCCGTCTGGTCCTTGTCCCTCCAGTTTTTGAAGAACTGTTTGAAGAGCGGAGTCTCTCCCATCTCCGGCAGGATCTGCACCTGCGTGTGTTTGGGGTAGCCCATCTTCTTTATGAACTCGTCGGCTGCTTTCATGGCCGCCTTACGCTCGTCCATGTTGGCATCTTTACCTGCGAGAAAGGACAGAAGGTTTAGATTGGTATTAGAGGTTTCAGATTCAGATGGGGGACAAGAGCCAGTTCTCCCTATCAATGGGTTTTAGAATGTCCTCAAAACAACAAGTCCTTAAAATGACGCCTAGAGCAGGAAGCTGATACCCATGAATTCATAACGTGATATTCTAAAGGTGAAAAGGTAAAAAATCACAACTGTTGAACCTAAGTATTAGCGTTTTAACAAAATTCATTTTAGCTGACCGCTGCTTTTATCAAATATCAGTGGCCAATAGAAAGTTGTGATGTCATTTTAAACCCTACAATGATTTGTAAAAGTTATGTCATTAGTCCATGTGGTTGTGCGTGGTGTAGTGAGTTAAGCATTTGTCCATGAACCAGAGGGTAGTCGATTCAGGTATTACAAACCTTTCCAAACAAAGATCTTGCCGTCGGAGCCGTGGTCCAGGATGAAGCAGTCTCCAGACTCCAGAGCGCTCTGAGCAAACGGGTTCTCTGCAGCCACCAGAGCGATGGCCATGTCCCCAGTCGCATCAGACACCTGCGTGAGGGTTTACTTTAGAATAACGACGCCTTCACCACAAGCAAACATGAAGCACTTTTCATACTGTATCTTCATTTTATATTACATACATGCATTATTAACAGGATTTATTATTATCTCTACAATTAGAATTTTGTTCTGTGTATGTGTGGTGTAATTCTGTCTATGAGAAAGATGTCTTCTGTCCAGTCTTGTTAAAAGAAGGTTACTCATATTAAAATGAATGTTTCCCCACCACCTCCTACACAGACAGCTTTACTAATCCAGATGAGTTGTGCAGTGACCTTGTAGAGTTTGGCTCTCTTCCTGTTGGAGGCGTCGGCCTTGATGTCGTCAGAGGCTCCTTCAGGCAGGTCTGGTTTGGGGCCTAACACCTGGACACACACAACATCAGAAACCATCAGACATCAGCACACACACTACAGGAGTCTGGACTGTAGTAGTGCTTTAGTGAATGTTATCTGTGTGAATGACACACACCTCCAGCATCTTCTCTCTCTCCACCCCCTCCTCGCACACGTACACTCGGGCCCGCCCACTGCGCTCGTTGTCACGGATGCCCTTGGCCACCTGAGTGGCCTTGAGCTTCTCGAAGCGGTTACTCTGGGAGCCGCACCACTGGTAGATCTCCTGTGGTCAACAGTACAACAGAGTTAAAGCACGGCCTTGTGCTGTGATGTTACTGTGAGTGAACATGAGAGGCTCACGCTGCCCAGGTCCAGGATGAAGCAGTCTCCCTGGTTGAAACTGTCCCAGCTGACCGGCACCTCTGTCGCCCTGACAACACGCCGACCTTTGACCTGGAGCACCCGCTGCACGATGACCTCATTTGTGACCACATGTTTGAACCCTGACGCCACACCGCCTTTCTGTTGGACAGAGGGCACAGCACACAGTGGAAACAGTTATTAAAGAGTTAAGATCATCATTGTACATACAATTAAACAAGAATTATAATCGTTCTATTTACAATTTGCAAGCAATGATAGTTCTAAAGTAGTTCCCCATCCAGTACTCAATCTCCATCATCCATCAACTCCACAAAAAAAAACCTTCAACAATTACATCACTCAACTAGAAAGTTTGAACGTTTCCATAAAGCTTAACTCTATCAGATAGTGTAAAAGATCTGTCATTAATACTGGTTAAAAATATGTGTTTCTTCTGACAAAATTCATAATACTCCTAACATATTAAATGTGTCAGTTCCACATAATACACCTCTAGGGCAGTACTCACCATGTACTTGATGCCAGACTTGAAGTACCCCAGGAAGGTCTTGGACTCGTGACCCTGCACCTCTCTGTACTGGATGGGCTTTCCCCCCAGGTAATCATCCATCTGCACCGTGAAGATGGCCGCCGAGCCGCTCTCGTCCTGGGTGCAGTGGTCACCTGCAGAGAGGCGGGCTGGTGATCACTACAGACACACTGACTCTGCCACGGCTACAGTCATTTAGTGCTGCTACATTACGGGATGTATCGCTTTGTTTGGCCTGGGTTACATCATGTCCTCTTTATGAGACAGTGTTTTTTTTAATCATCGATGGGGCCTAAAAGCACATGAGATCAATGAGGGTAAAATGGCTGCCAGGTTCCATCTTAGTGCGTCTCCAAAAAAAAAAGGCCATGTGGTTTTGAAATCAGCTCAGAATCAATTTATTTTTTACAGTTCATCAGATGCCAAGTACAAAGTGCAACAAATTTGAAAATGGTTATGAAAAATGTATTGTCTAAGTGTAATAATCTAATAAAATAAAATCAATAACTATAAACATGTTTTGAATTTTGTTTTTTATAGATGGAACAGTGATATCAACGACACTGTTAAAACATTCTGTTGTGGTGTGTAATGGTATGGTTCTGATTTTCAAAATGTGGAGCAAAGCAAATTTCTGTCACAGAATTTGACTAATCAGTGAATAAAAATCATGATAAACTTTTCCCTTTGAAATAATCATGATTTCAGTTATGACCAGGCCTGCTCACTGACCACTATGACCAGTCTGTTTACAACACTAACTCACTAACTAGTATTTCCACAAAGACTTTCATTAACTAGCCATTTTAGATTTTGTAGTCTTCCTTGTTTAAATGATTTATATTTCATATAAACTGAAGTCAGTTTTTCCATATATACATATATACATATATACATATATACCTAAGAATAAACACAATACATACACAATACACACATTGCAACTGGCCAAAGTGACTAGTGTTAAAAGTTTTAGTAGTTAGACTGGAAATCTACCAGCATTTTGCTTAATGGTTAAAGTTCATATTAATCATTGGTTATAACCCAAATGATTGTGGTAATGATTTTTTTATTTTTTTTCTCCACAATGAAGCACCCTTCTAACAACTTCAATGTATCTGTAGTTGTCATTTAAACTATAGGCCTACTATAGGAACAGACTTAGAGATACTGAATACAGATTTTGATACTACAAAGGTAAATTTCTTCAGACAATAGAATGCCATTTTCAACATTAAATTGTAGTACTTTCTTTTATTTTCCCATTAGGAGCAAAATTACTAAAATATCGATATATTGCATGGTTTAATATGCTGATACAGTTTCGATATCGTGAGCTGTTGTATCAATATCCCCAAGAGTATTTTTTGGTGTATTTTACTGAATTATTTTGCTACAGTTTTGTTGCTTGTTTAAAGGAAGGAAACTAATTTATGTAACACATTCGACATATTCAATGTTTTGATGATGAAAATGGGTGTTTCATATGGACTTTGCACAAGAAGAGGTTTAGTATCACAGCTATGATTTTGAAAGCTTACTGTATCAAAATACAAATCATATCATGGCCTATGTATTGAGGTATGCATCGTCATAATGATACCCAGTCCTAGTTCCCATGTGGTCTTATATGTGCGTAATCCCTCAGTGGGTTCTATAGTGGTCCATGTGGGCGTATACTAGTCCATGTGCTCTCATACGTGTTCTGATGCAGCTCAAGATCATTCTAAAACTATTCAAAGATTAATTTCTGTCCTGTCAAGGTAACTTTTTTTGTATCGATAAGAATCTGGTTTCAATACTAGTTTAGAATCGATTAGTATCAATAGACCATGGGCCTGTTAGACTGGTGTATTGTTTATTCATCTGGTGTGGAACTTTCTGAGGCAGCTGTTGTGATATGTGATCTGTATTCAAACTTGAAATCCCCTCACTCACACATTGATCACTGTTTAAGCTCTCAGCATGAAACCTCAAAAGCATTCTAAATCCCCGGTCAGACAGGAACATTACACAACATCTGCTTATCGGAGAGGCGATCGTCTGGCAAGCATCAATAAAAATCATGTGTTTGTTAAGTGTATTAAGGTGGATTTTGGTAAACATTTTGAATTAGTAAACAGCTGAAATTATTATTGAAGTAGTTTTGAAGTAAAAGTTGTTTAGTAGTGGCACTGTTGGGCAAGTTACTTCAAAACTGTAATGTGTTATTTATGACTTGTTTCTGTCATTTTAAAGAAATTTGTTACATTACTGCATTTAAAATGTAAGGAAATACACGAAAATTGCATTACTTTAAGTTACTCTCACCAAAATAACTCTGGCTGATTGTCAAATAACAATCAGCAAGCCAAAATGCAGAACTTTTGCGCAGTATACGGACTAAACCAGGACTGAACCAGGACTGAACCAGGACTGAACCAGGACTAAACCAGGTCTAAACCAGGACTAAACCAGGACTGAACTGAGGACTAAACCAGGACCAAACCAGGACTAAACCAGGACTAAACCAGGACTGAACCAGGACTAAACCAGGACTTAACCAGGACCAAACCAGGACTAAACCAGGACTGAACCAGAACTAAACCAGGTGCTTAGAACTGTTATTTCTTTTTGTAGTCTGCACTGAAATGGAGCAGAGGATCATGGTCTATGTAGTTTCCCTCTGTCTTTTAGCTATTGCTGCACCATAACTCTTCATTTACGCAAAGAGACTTGTAATTTGATATATTGTGATGATCCACGATATTATTGTGAGAACTTTGACGATACGATATCATGATATTTCGGTTATTGTTACATCCCTATCTACAATCCTTACCTATCAATGTACTTAGAACTCCTTCAAATCAAATATTGTAAAGCAGAGTTGTTAAAGTTGATACCAAGATAATCATACACTTTGAGCTACTATCAGACACTGAAAAAGAAACATGTATTGACACAAATATTAGATAGTTACAAAATGGTTATAATTCATATTAGAACTATAAAACTGTGTATTATGCATTGTGGTAGTTTTTTGGTTTTTTTTATTATTGTGGAATCAAAATTGATACAGAGAATCAAGAATTTTAGAAATTGTATTACTGTGACGAATACAAAAGTTGTTTATACTTGAGCTCCTCATTTGTGGTAGTCAGGACCTACAATTAAAACCAGTTTGCAAAAAAACTAGGGCTGAGCAAAAATAAAAAATATGAATCGCATTAATCACATGAGCTCCTGTGATTAATCATAATTGATCGCATGTTAGACGCAAAATCAATTAATGAATTAAAAAGTAAACAACATTCTAGGCTCTCTCACAATGGACTTTTTCAAAATAAAAGCCAGTGAACAACAGACCTTTACAATTTAAAAAAATAAATAATAAAAACTGTGCTAAAGGAAGAAAAATTATTGTTGGTGATAATGAATTCATTAGTTTATAAGCCCTAAAAAAAAAAAAAAGGGGCTCTGTATGATTTTGTCAAATAATCCTTTAAAGTTTAAGTCTATTTTTAGTCTTTTTTTTTTTTTTTATTGAATTTTTACTTTAAATATTGATGTTACGCAGACATGCTCTTGGACAGAGTTTATTTATGGTCAAGTTTGTTTTTCTGGGATTGAAACTGGGGAAACATGGATCTAGTGTCTGTTCCTTTTACTCACTTGTGGTATTATTCCTTTTAGTCATAACTTTAGTCACTATGTTCACTTTTTACTTAGTTCACAATATTCAAGCTGTGTTTCGCCACTTCTTGTGTACATACCGAGCCAGAAGTGCAGGTCGTACTGCAGAGCTCCAGACCTCTGTTTGATGGTGTTGAGGATGAGGTAGGCGTCCCCGGTGTAGAAGCCTCCATACAGGTTCTGAGGCACAGGGACCAGGTCAAAGTTCTCCACTCTCCAGACCTGCAGGCCCGGATGCTGCCCGGCACGCTCAAACTCGGGGTGTTCCGGCATCCTGACAAGAAAGAAGAGAAACAGTATTATTACAAAGGTGTGAAAACTACCAATTTGAGATGTTCGTAAGATCCCCGTGATTCGTAGGATCCAAAGCAAAAGAGAAATTCAATTCTGCCAACTGGATGCAAGGTTTTTTGATTGGGGAAAAAAAAAAAGTCTGCTATACTAATTTGAGACTGGAGCAAGAAAATCATGTGAAAAGAAACATTTAGAGAGCAGGATGATAAAGAAAGGGCTACACAAAAACCTGCACAATTTGGATAAAAAATGCCTTTGTTTTGTTTTAGTCAACAATATTAACACTGGATAAAAAATGCAAAATTGTGATTTCTCAGGCAAGTAATGCAATTGTGTTTATGAATGGTTTATTGGTCATGTTTTAATTGCAAACCATCATTTCTGATTTAATATCTGCTCTAACTCTGTGATTTAGTCTTAATTGCAAAATATTATACAACCCAAGCTCAGTTCTGAAGGTCTAGAATGGACCTTATTCAGTCCTGTTTTAGACCTGGCATAGTACGGAAACAGTCAGTTTAAACATGTTTACTTCAAATCTGATTTTGTGCAGGTACAGATTGGATAGAAGAACACATTTAGACTGTAATTAGGCCTATTCATAATATCTTCTGCAAAAAAAACTCTGGGTATTAAAGAGCCAGTGTCCGATTTTTCCCCATGTATTTAAGTAAAATTTGTGTTTTGTACAGGTATATTGTATTAGCCTGATTCATCAGCCGCTTTCAATTCGTGGAAACCGTCTGTCCTCGCAGCATTAGGATTTATTCGCTCAACAGTAGGCGGGTACTTTTTTATTTAACCAATCACTGCTATTGGTCATGACATATGTAAAGCGCCGCTAACAGGGCTAACTGGTATATTAAGCTTTTCTCAAATCCTGTAGGAAGAAGGACAATAACGTCTTTCCCCTTGATAAAATTCACCAAACATTCTCTTTGTTCCGCCTTTAAACCCTCAATCTCAGGAATCGTTGCCAACACAGAATGTATGGCTTCATCTACATCCATCTCGACCGCTTTGTTTACCAATCAGCTCTTCGCTGACTGGCTGGTGTGCAGTCTATAACTCCCGGGGTTCTTGCAAACAGGGTTGTCAAACTCAAATTCACAGGGGGTCGAAATTAAAAAGTGATACTAAGTCAAGGGCCAAACTAAATATGTAACATCTGCATATTTTCTCTTCTTTCGAGATATGTAATGTTAAACCTTTTCTTATTCAAATAAATGTTTAATAATAGTTTTGCTTAAACATTGAATTCAGAACAAGCATCATATAAAATAACAACATTTTAAATAAATAATGTCTCTATAACTTATCTGTAGCCGGCAGGCAGCTCTAATACATATTTGATATGATCTCCCAGGCCAATATAATTATACTGCGGGCCAAATTTGGCCCCAGGGCCTTAGTTTGACATGTCTGGTTTAGTGTATTCCGATTCCTGACCTAGTCGCAGGAGAGAAATGAAATTGAGCAGAAGCACTAGGTGGCTAATATTGTATTGTATTGTATTTTCTGAGGTCAAAATAAGCCTGCTTTATACTGTCAAAATATAGAGTGTTTATTGCCCATGAATCAGGAAGTGCGTTGTTAGCTTTCTACAGGCTGTAAAACTCTCTAGTCTGTGCAGAAAGTTGTGAAAAGTGCTTATAAACTCATCATGGTGAAGAATTAGGAGCTCAGAATGTACAAAGTCAGTGTGGAAGAACTTTGGACCTATGCAAACATTTTCAAATAAACTAATTCTGTTTTTTGTTTTTTTTTCCACATTTTGAGAGAGTAAAAAATATTCAAGATTTTCAGTTCCATGTTCATAGGTGATATTTTGAGGATATATTGTTTGAACTGTTAATTACCATGGCAACCGCACTAGATGTTCACCGGCCATGCAGAGCAACCGTCAAGCAGTAAATTACCCAGTGCTATTGCAGGCTTGAAAGTGATGACTGAAAATCACATGCACCACTCCTGTATTCGATATGGTTGTCATGGAGACGGTGATAACGTTTACAGCTGGAGTTATACATTACAGATATTAATACGCAGAGAGAAGGGTGACTCACTGGTTTCCTCTTTGGGCAGGAAGAGGATGTAGTGACTCAAATGTGCTGCAGACTGTGTCTGCAACATGACAAAAAAAAACTATGAAATAAAAATTGAGCTGCTCGACTATCACCTCACTGCATTTGAAGCCTATTCTAATATTCTTTTAGTTGCTTTGGTGTTCTACTGTTGGATCAAAACTTTCTCTCTACAGCAGATCTATATGCAGAGTACTCAGTTAGATTACTTGAGTACTTTTCTAGCAGTACACTTTGTAACCTTCCATTTTATGAAGAACTGGACCATATTTTGGGAGACAAGCCCAGTGTTTATGCGACTTACGTAAACACTGAACACACTCGCTACACGTGACATCGACACTTTTGGGGCGTTTAAAGTTCACACTACAAGTCACATTTAACTGGAAAAGTGAATGACCTCGCAAAAAATCAGATTCCACAAAAAAAATATGAATTGCGCATTAAGACCTGCAGTCTAAACGTAGCCTAAAAGCAATTTCTGCCAAACGTTTCATTAATGGCTACAATATTCAAACTAAAGAAATAGCCACTTTCCTTCGCATTGGACCCAGTATGGCTGTAGATCTCTTTAATCATTTAGTAATTTAATCAATTAACCGATCGATGGTGTCTTAATCAAACTGTTAGAGACTGAAGTTGGAGATTGGAGTATTCTTTTGGTGTTTCTATATAAAAAATCTGATTAAACTCATGGTCCACAAGTTGAATCTGTGTTTTTATAAATACATTTCCTAGTACTTTTTTCTGCTTTAGTATTTGTTTTTGCATGAACTCCCATGCAGTTGTGTCTGGTTGACCAAGAATTTCTTTAGCGACACCGCAAAAACGATAAAAATGTATCACAATTCAGTCTTTTCAACAGTGAAAAGTCTTCCTCCCAAGTCAGAAGTCCAAACATGCTTACCACAAATGATTGCCTCAACTCTACACAAAAGGCCCAAGTTGATCAGTAGAAATGATTGAATTGCAATTAAAATGTGATTAACAGCCCGGGCTTACTTAGAACTACTTTAGTCATTCGGCTATAGTCCTGTTATAGACCTGGTTTAGACCTGGTGGTACTTCTAAAGCCAGACATTAGTGAAACCGCTGCTGTAGAGGAATACAAATGCTTGCCTAGGAGCAGAAATTCCTTTGGACTCAACGTGGTGACATAATCATCTTACAGTCTCATTCAAGAGAGGCCAACTATCATATATCATATACACAAAATGAATCAGCTGAAAATAATAAAAATCCTCATTCAGAGTATTTTTAATTCCAGCCAAACACTCAATATTTGTAAAGGATGATTTGAAATGTAGACTGATGAGTTTTTGTTAGGGAGATTTGTTGATAAAATCTCTTTGTCTCTTTTTTCTATACAGCTTTGGTTTATCTCTATTATCTGTCTAAATTATTTGTTTTTGTTGGGTGTTGGAGGTTTGTTTGCACAGTGGTGGACTAATGGTCTCAAATGGAAAGCATGGAAGCACTTTATCAGTATATAACACTTAAGCTTAGGGGTTTATATTCAAGTATTATTATCGGCTGCAGCTACAGTAAATCCTTCTTCTTCTTACATTCAAACATACTTAGGACTATTAGCTCTAAACTTCCTGCATTTACATCAGGGGTCTCCAACCTGTAGCTTAAGGGATTTTTGAAGTACACATATTATCCCGAATAACCAAAATGTGATGAATTAAATGCCTATTATTATTGTAAATCTATCATTTTGATGTCTGATTTTGTACACTTGTAAATAAATAATGGTTTATGTTTTACGTTTTATCTAATTGTAGCTCATTTAAGTCTTGCCATGGCTACTTTCATTGCTAAAATAAGGAGCTCTCTGGAATTTTCTTTTTTTTTTTTCAAAAGTTTGGCTGATTTACATTCTGTACAGTGTGAAGAGGGGCCATCACTCGTGTTGACGACCGACCATCAGATACAAATCACATCCTTCTTGTTTTGATCATCTCACAGACCAACATTAGTTCATTAGCATACATGAACACCCTTTGGTTAGGTGGTCTGGGTGATATGAGGTTTGTCTTGGCCTTTAGGAACCACCCACTCCCCCTACTCAGTCCATAAAAGCCCCTCTTAACACAGTAAGGACAACTACTGAAGCACTGACCAGAGCTGAGAAGATGGCAGCAATGTACTGGACCCAAGCTGAGATCCAAGAGCTGCTAGAAGTCACCCTCAAGTACAAGGAAGAGAAATGCAAACAGAACATCGACTGGAGATCCCACCCCAACACCTATGAAGATATCTGGAGGGCCTTCGTGCAGGTGTACACTGCCAAACAGGCCGAGATGGGAGAGGGCGCCTTCCTACATGACGTGGAGACCATCACCAAAGCAAAGGTGATCTTCAAGCTCAAGGACATGCACAGGAGATTCAACAAGGCCTGGAACTCGGATGGACCCAACTTCTACGCTCGCTTCTGGGACATTTGTGGCAAGATCTGGGGAGAGGGGGCACTGGCGCAGGATGATGCTGTTGGTGGTGGAGTTGAAAATCTTCAGGAGGAGGAGGACAGTCGAGATCTTTCCAGCATCTGGGATTCTGACTGCAGCTTCTGGAGCTCCACAGAGTCAGAAGAAGAGGAGGAGCTGGAAAGTCCACCATGCAAAAGGAAAATACTACAAGATAACTACTTTACTCAGGTATGTATACGTGCTATATCTGACGGGACCAATATTTTCTAATTATCTGGATGAAATTTTTGTGGATACCCTCTATTTTGGCTTTTTCAGATAAATACTGTTTCTAACCCAAGTTTCTTTTCTCTGTTATCAGGCGTACAGCGAAGAGTCCATGAGAATACATCAAGAACTAATTGAAAGTATGAGGAGATACCAGTCGGCAGTGATCGAGAGCATGCGTCTTTTGGAAGAAATCT